AAATATAAGGATTACTTGTTCTAGTTCTGTGCAAAATGCCCTTGGTATTTCAGTGGGGATTGCAATGAATCTGTAAATTGCTTTTGCTGGTATGGGCATTTTAATGATATTAATTCTTCCAAACCAGGAGCATGGTATATATACTTATCTGCATCATCTTCAATTTCTTTCATCAATGTCTTACAGTGTTTCAAATACAGGTCTTTCACCTCATTGGTTAAATTTATTCCTAGATATCTTATTTTTGATGCAATAATAAATGGGATTGTCTTAATTTCTCAGATAGTTATTAGTTACAAAATGCAACAGGTTTCTGTATATTATCCTGCAACTTTACTGAAGTCATTTAATAGTTCTAATGTTTTTTTTGGTAAATAAAGCCTTTAGGGTTTTCTATATATAGTATCATATCTGCAAGTTGTGACAGTTTTCTTCTTCCTTACCAATCCAGATGCCTTTTATTTCTTTTTCTTGTCTGATTACTGTGGTTAGGACTTCCAGTACTATGTTGAATAAAAGTGGTGACAGTGGACATCCTTATCTTGTTCCTGATCTTAGAGGGAAAGTTTTCAGTTTTTCACATTAAGTATGATGTTAGCTGTTACTTTGTCATATGTGGCCTTTTTTATATTGAGGCATTTCCTTCTATACCCACTTTGTTTAGAATTTTTTTTATCATAAACTGATGTTGCATTTTGTCAATCTCTGCATCTATTGAGATGATCATATAATTCACCTTTTGTTTTGTTAATGTGGTGTATCACATTCATTTATTTGTAGATGTTGAATTATCCTTGCATCCCTAGAATAAATCCCACTTGATCATGACTTATGATTCTTTTAATGTATTGTTGAATTCAGTTTACTAATAATTTGTTGAGAATTTTTGCATCTGTTTTCATCAGGAATATTGATGGTGTCTTTGGTTTTGGTATCAAGATAATGCTGGCCTCGTAAAATGAGTTTGGAAGTGTTCCTCCCTCTTCAATTTTTTATGGAGTAACTTGAGAGGGATAGGTGCTAACTCCTCTTTAAATGTTTGGTGGAATTCACCTGTGAAGTTTTCTGGTCCTAGACTTTTATTTTTTGGAGACTTTAAATTACTGCTTCAATTTCATTACTTATAATTGGTCTATTCAGATTTTCTATTTCTTCATGATTCAGTCTTACAAGGTTGTGTGTTTCTATGAATTTATCAATTTCTTCTAGGTTTTCCAATTTGTTGGTATATATTATTCTAGTGGTCTCTAAGAAAGCTATTTCCTTTTCTTATCTTATTGCACTAAGACTCCCAGTAAGATGGTCGAATATATATGTGTACTTTTTATATTTTGTATTCTTTTCTGAGTTCTGTCACTCCTCTTCAAATCTTCTTTTCTCCACTTTATTTCTGAGGTTTTTAGTTCTTTGTTGTTGTTTTATGTTGTTCTATCTTCTATCATTAAAAAATTTTTTCTCTTGGTTTGAAATACTGGGTTATAGTTTTCATATGCTTTTTTCTCTATTTTATATTTTACTATAACAACTTAAAAAGAATTCAACTATAATCCTTCTTGTGGTATATTTTTAAGCTAAATAAGTTATTCTTTACCTTTAAGAGGGAGGGGTGGGTATAATAACTTTCTAGCCTCATGATTCTAAAGCTTCCTTTTCTCATGTTTTCATACAATGACACCTATGTATCATTGTCATTTCTGAGCTCTCTCTCCTCTCTCCCACTTTTATTTGGACCCGCATTTTTCTTTGCTTCTATTGTCCCTGTCCTGTTCAATTTGGATTCTACTCCCAGAAGTTTCTCCTTAGTGTTGGGCTTTGTCCAGGAAGGGAGCTCAGGTTTATTAAGTTTTATGAGTTCATAAGCTCCATATCTCTCCAGCACTTTCAGACCTTCCTGCTCCTCCCTTTGTACTCACCCTGATATTACAGTCAGTCAGTTTTGCTCTTGATCTCATATTCATCTCCCTTGCTTTTCAGTGAATACCTATTGGCAGTTTGGGGGTCCTTCCATTCTCATGGCCTTCAGATGCTCTGTTGTCTTCCCACTGTTTCCTCCTACCCAGATACTGGTACTAAGTTGACAGTTTGTTCCCACCTGCTCATATTATGAGCTTTATGAGGATTCTTTTTCACTTAGTTATGTTATACCCATAGTCTATATTTGTTATTATTATTGTTTTGCTATTCAAGATGTTCTACCTGTTTTTATGAGGAGATTCAGACTACAATGCCTCCATAATTATCTTCATAGAGCTTCAATATTCATGTATTAATTGGGGAGGGGGGTAAGTTATATTTTTTCAAGTTTTAAGCTTTTCCTATATTTTTTAAATCAATCAAAATACAAGTTGAAATGATTATAATATGTTGATTCTGCCTTTTAGATAACTTTCAACTAATTTAAAAACTAATTTGTTTTGCTTTCTTGGCCTGAAATTAATGTACTCACAATCATTAGTCTATTCCCACACGTTACCACTCCCAGCTTGCTGAAGGACACTCTTAGACTTAATGAAATAACAGAACTAGGCTTAAAATAATGCAATTTGTGATGACTGCCCAATGTTCTCAGGCCAAACATTTGGAGGAGCTCATAACTGTATTTATTACCATTTTGTTGTTGTTGTTACAAAATTCTGGTTCCATCTGAGCCCCTTTCCCACCCTACAAATAGTCCAACTTAACCAACTGGCTGCCAATTATCTGATTGTGGTCCACATGTTTTGTTTAGCTTGCTCACTATTTAAAAAAATGAACAAAATAGTTGCCAACGCTTAAAAACCAGATTTCACATAAAAATCCAGTTTCCTGGCTGCTCTTTAAAAATTGAGATCTCGTGTAATGAAGCCCATATTCCTTCTTGGAACCTGTGCCCTGACTAAACAGAGAATAGTCTCTCAGGTTTGTGATACTTTTCTCCCAGATAGTTTCTCTCATTTGTTACCTTCTAGTCCTCATAGACATTATAGGTTTGCAACCCATAAACTAGTATCTCTTTGATTTCAGTCTTATTTTGGCTTAAACCACTAAATATGTACTGATGATTTCTAAATCTGTTTCTACTTAGTTATCCTACATACTCCCCAGAACCCACATATTCAATATCAAACTATTTTTTTCAAAACCTAATTTTCTCCCACTATTCCCTAAATGACCCAGTTAACATAATTGCATTCCTATAGTTGTCCAAATTAAAAAACGCTTAAGGTTATTCTTTCCTCCTTTTTCTTCATCCTACCCACAGCTTTTCAATCATGTGCCAAATTATGACATGTCTTTGCTTTTATAGCTCCCAATATTTTGAATACCTTTCTCTCTTGATATCTGGAAAAACACTCACTTTCCAAGATGGAGCAAAATTATTCAATTTCTAAAACTATATCCCCTGTCTCCAAGAGCATTTAGTTGCTCCTTTTCATGCATAGGCATCTCAAGCACATTGTATGTTGTATAGGTCTTAGGACTATGGATTCCTTACAAGGCCAGATTATGATTTAGTTATCTCTGTATGAACAGTACTAAGACAAAAACATGAACTCAATAAATGTGTCACAAAAACAAATACATGAATTTTATAAATCAATGAAGATTATTTCATATCATGAATTTACTTCCTGTACTTTCTATATTATGCTTCAATTTCTGATTAAATCCCCCCCTCCCCATTTTTGCTGGCACTTTTTCAGTGCTTGCTTTGTATTCATAGTAGAATCACTTAAATTTTTGCACCACATGACTGTAAAGTTAAAATGGCTATGTCAAAAGAAAACTTATTGACTCCACCATGACAATATGAGGGTTTTTAAGGTAACTTTAAAAATTCTGCTTTAAATATATAAGGATGCCAAATATTAACACTGAAAAAATATATTATTACTCATAAACAGAATCCTGAGAGGCATTGAACAGCTGTTGAAAAATTTGGCCCGTCACTATGCCAGCCTGAGTTTAATGACCTACATGTGAAGGACTACATATCCAATTACTAATCCTCACTCAGCTACTCTTTGCCCTCATATAGAGGCAGCTGAAAAAAAGATGCCCTACTAACATCAGAAATGGATCCACACTGTTGTCAATGTTCAGTTAAGAGATCTTTTAGATTTAAGATGAGGAAGAAACAAGGAGTGATCCACAACAGTGTTATAGCTGACATAGTTTTTCAAGTAAAATTTGAGGGTTTAAAGCAAGAATTACTTCAGTTTTGTGACTAGAGAACTCAAATTCTGAATTTAATTTTCTATTCATTAAAGCGTTTAAACATGTTCAAATATCAAGAATAATTTACTTCACAATTCTTTCCATACCAATATGGCAGTCTTCTATTCATCCATTGAAATCTCATTCTTATCTTCAAATTCTGCAATAATCACCTATTAGAAGTAGGATAAAACAAAAGCTAAAAATGACAGTCTACTAGATTATGTTTCAGTTCTCCCTCAGTTGACTTGGTCTATATATAGCAAAAAGATCATATAAGGTCACGTATTATAAACAATGAAATGTCACATGATGTTTTGCAAAACAGCATAAGAAAAATAGTTCAAGGAATGGAGAGTAAGACTTATGACTATAATGAAGAAAACATTTTTAAACATTCTAGATTTAAATGCATCTTATTGGGAATTTGATTCACTCTTTAAATTTGATTTTCCATTTGAGTTGTGTGAAATCATGTGATACTGACAACCTTCTTCCGTATACATTATAGTTTAGGCGTAGCTATACGCTTTCCTATCAACTCCAGTAGAGAATTAAAGAGCTCTCCATCACTCTTTCGTATTTAAAATTTTTAAAAGTAGGTATGCCTTACACCCCTCCTCCATCCCCATAGGAATATATAAACGAATACAGGCCTGCAAGTATACACTTGCTTCGGGGTGGAAAAAGAGACATCATTCTAACTACCTCCCCCTCCAAAAACCCTAACTCCAGACCCCGCCCAACATGAACTCCCTCCGCTTTCTTTCACTGCATGTCCAAACGTGGCGCAGTTTGATGACGTAAAAGCGTAAGCGCCGTAGCCTCCTACGCATAGCTTCCGTCCCTGCCTCTGGGAGTTGAAGTTTCCTAGGGAAGATTCATGAGCTGTATCAAGACCATTACGAGAAGGCTCTCTGTTGGTGCTCTCGGTTCCCTGACAACTCCTCAGCTCGGTAAGTCTCCTGGCACTGCCGCTGGCGCTTGCCTAATCTCTGGTCTTCTTTGGGCGCAAAAGGGGATTTTGCGAGTGCCATTCTCAACTAGCAACACGGCTTCCGGGGGAGAGGGGAGTGGGGCTGTAGAAGTGGCGCCGCGACCCAGTTCCCGAAGGAAGTGATGTCAGATACAGAGCGTCCCCGGCGCCAAGCAGCTCCCTGATTCGCTGGCTGCAGTTTAATCCCTCCTCAAGTGCGTCCGCAGACAGGTCGCCTAGAGGGGAGTGTGGGGCGAGGCTCAACCCACCTGCTGTGGGGGCGCCTACGGTCGACGTTTGTATGGGGGTCGGGATCCGGTCCCTAGTGTTTGAAGAGTGTGAGTTTCCAAATAATGAAGGGAGAGGGAAATCTGGACTCTGAAGGGCTGGAAAACGAGTTGTGGTTCTGCCACTTGGTGGCTAGAGACCGGGAGCAGTCGCTTTACCTCGTTTCTCCAACGAGGGGCTGACGTAGCTGAGCGCTCTGAAATGTTGAGGGCTCAGGGGAAAGTTGCTGCAGGTGCTGTTAGCCCCTTGGTGGTGAGCCGAGGATGGTTTTTAAGAGGACTGAGGCGTTACTTGATTTGAGTGAAATATGTTGTTAAAATTCGGGAATTTTTCTAGAGCTATAAAGAGGATAGCAACAGATGACTTTCTCACTTTTTGTTTTGGTTGTTTTTTTAATTCATTCTCCTCTCCCTGTCCCAGCCCAATCCTCCCAAGGGGCCTGACCGCTGAATCATGCGCTTTCGATACTGCAGATCTGGCCGGCGCGTTTTAAAAAGGGTTCTTTCCCTGTCACTGTCAAGTCATTTAATTCCATTTTGCGGGTATTCCAACATTCTTTTGGATCTTTCAGAAAGGGAGACTCTGTCATAAATTATGAAGACTATTTAGCCCAATCAAAATCCATGGAAGTTGGGTTTGTTTTGTTTTGTTTTTTTAATTTTTATTTTAGCTATTCACTGATGTATGCGTGTGTTCCCTGCTGGAAGCTGTGCGAAGAACTGGAAATACAAGGAAGATTGAGATGCCCCCCCCCCCTTTTTTAACACTATTTGTCTCACACCAAATGGCCTTAGTCACCTTTATCCAGTTCTTGGTTTTATCAGACCACCTGATAACCAATTTCTGTGACTAAATAAACCAACCTTGTAAAAATTCTATATTAAACTAAATTTCACACATATTTCTATAATTGCTACAAAATATTGCTCTTAAATACTTGTTGAACGTGGTTGAATAAATGAAAATGTACTGTGTCACTGCGTGTGAGGGAGGAACACAAAACTTCTGCTATGGAGCTTATAAATTGTAGCAAAAACTTTAGAAAGCAAGTATACCGAGTAAAAAAATGCCACATTTTGCTTCAGGTCATCTGAACAAGCTAGTACATGGTGAAATGCTTATTGTATGGTATAGGAAGTGAGAGTTGGTACACATCTTTGTAGAGTGTGATGTAAGCAGTAATATATTGGATCTCAAGCTAGCATTTCTTTTTATTTTGTGCCTCAGTGTATCTAGCTTATGAAAGCTTTAAAAATATTCACTCGCTGTGAATTTTGTGCATTTTCTTAATTCGGGATAGTTTTAAAGATAATGAAAATGTCGACTAGCTCATGACCTTTCCTTGTATTTGATAGGCTGTTTAAAAACATTAGTATGCAATGATAGGCCAGGTTAAATTTAATTTAGACTTCTCAGGTAGGAAAGACAAAAGCTCCCCCTGGTGTACATGAGCTATAAAACACTGCAATATATTGCTTTTTAAAAAAAATTTCACATTATAGAGCCAATCAGTACTTGCATTTTTTTTAACAGAATAAAGAACTAGCAAAACACAGTGCCACTGACGAACAGAAATGTCCTCTTTTGAGATATTAGTCATTGTTTTATGAAGAGAGCAATTTGTTCCCTGTGAATTTTAATTGTGCTTTTAAGTTTGCACATTTAGCTTGGTGAACAGGTTTAGCTTGTTTTCTACCATGTACTGTTTTGCATACATGCATTGCTTTTATTTAATGTACTGTGTATATAGAGGCAGTAAAATAAAAGTGATTCTGGGGATCACAATATATATTTTAAATTTTTCTTCTAATTTTTTCAGGCTTACTGAATTTCCCTGTCTCCTGTTTCTTAAGTTGAATGCTTATTTTTTTTTTCCAGCTTTTTAAGAACACTCTTTAATGAATGAACTTAAGGTTATACATTTATCTCCAGTTAACTTTTTGCTTGTATCTCTCTCATCCTGCTATTAAGTCTTTCAGTTGTTCTGACATATTTTGTCATTCTGTTTCTCTGAATTCTGAGATTGTCAGGATGTCTTCTAATTCATCCATTACCTCTCTTGGACTCCAGATAATCTGGAGTTTGTCTCATCTCTTGAAATTTTTATATCTTAATTTCCTGGTTTCCAAATAGGTTCTTTTTCATAGATTTTTCTTTTTGCTTTTTTTATGCCTGCTTTTGTGTCCCGATTTCCTGTTTTGTTTTTATGGTTCTATTCCTATGATCTCTTGAAAGATTCCAACCAAACTTATTTTAGTCTTTTTCACATTGTCCTATTATTTTCAATTTGTGAAGAGTGAATTTATCTCCTGATTGTTGATTTTGTTGGGTTTTTCCCATCATTTCTGTCTTTTTGTAATTTTGCTTTGCATAGTCCTCTCATGGAATTATCACTTCCCCTCTCCAAACCATCTGTCTATCTGCAGCTGATTTTGTGGTTGCTCCTACCCCTGGCCCTGTTAAATGCTTCATTCCACAGCACAGCTTGCATAAGTGATTCAGAATTCTAATCCTGTAGTGTTCTAAGTTCATATGTCATCTCATGGTTTGGCCCTGGTTGTAGCTGAGAAGCTGTCTGTTTCACACTTCGGGTTTCCCCAGGTAACCAGCGTGGTATAAGCCATTAGTCTAAATTTCACCTGTTTTCAGCCTTTTTTCATGGAAAAAGGAGCCCCACTCCCAACACTAGTTTAAGGGTTCATCTTAAACTTTATTAGGGGCGCCTGGGGGCTGAGTCAGTTAAGCATCCAATTCTTGATTTTAGCTCAGGTCGTGATCTCAGGGTTGTGAGATTAAGCCCTGCATAGGGCTCCACGCTCAGCAGGGAACCTGTTTCTCCTCCCTCTGTCCTTGTCCCTGCCACACCCCCCCCCAGTGCATATGCTCTCTCTCTAAAATAAGTAAATAAATATATTTTTAAAAATAATAATAATGCTATTCTCTTTGCCATCCTCTTTAAAGCTAAGAAAACTCCCAGTTGCCTTTAATAGCAGACCCAGCAGAAATAATATCTATTTTAGTTCTTGTTTTTGGTTTTGAGAGAAGCTATACCTTTTTTGTTTCCCCTTGTATTTTATCTACTGTTGTCATGTATTTCCAGATTGAGAGACAGGATGCCTCAAAACGTGAACTTTTGGCAACTATCTAGGAAGTCTGTCCCATTTTTGTATTCAGTGGAAAGGAATTGAACTGGAGCTATTTTTTCCCCTCTTTCAGTGACACAGTGTTCTCAGAGCCCTCCAACAGCTGGGGTGAAGCCACACAGCTCTTTTATATTCTTTGGAAACCCTCATTTTCTAAATAAGATTTTGGATTTCTGGGAGAGAGTAGAGTTGGATCTGGGTTTGAATCTTAGCTCCATCACTTCATTTGTCTATTCATTCCTCAAGTATTTTGAGGACTTTGTCCTAGATTTGTTCTAGGTGCCTTGTTTCTTAGGAATTAATTAGTACTTTTGTAATTTGGGGCAAGTTACTTTATCTCACGGTGCCTTCTTTGTAAAGTAGGCATGATGCTGTCTACCTTGTAGGGTTGTTTTAAGGATTAATTTAGATAATACATTATTTAGCCCAATAAGAATTAATAAATGTTCATTATAACCACTTTCATTGCTTTTTAAAATCCTTTGTAATATATTCACTCATTTGTTTATTCCACAAATATATAATAAGCATCTACTAACTGCCAGGCACTGGGTTAGTAATGTAATGTGGCGATATAATATTAGGCAAAAGCAGACCATCCGTGCCCATAGGCAGTTTCCAGTATAAAATCAAATTTGGGTTGTCATTTCTAGGAGATATTTTCCCCAAACTAAGGGTACTGTTTGGTTAATGCCATAAGGAAAACTTGTGAACTCTTACTTGGATTACTAGATGGTTCTTTCCCCTTCAGTAATTTGTGACTTAGCAAAATGCCAGGGTTTTTGCCATAGCCCCCAAAACACACATCTAAAATTCATCTTTCAGTCAAAGTTTGGTAAACTTTGTGTTTTCTTAGTTATCCCCATGTGTCCTGTTACAACATTACACTTTTAAAGAAAGCAAGAACCATATAATAAAGCTGCTTAAATTATCTTCTGCATGGTTTTGTCCTTTCCATTATCTGAATTGTTGGGATTTTTCTCTTAGATATTAGCTTCTCTGCATAGACTTGTTAGCCATCTCTTTTAAGAAGAAAGAATCATAGAATTTTCTTTAATGCGAATAGAACATTTGCAAGTCATGCTTAGTCTTTGCTAGACATAAATAAATGTTTAAGTTGTAGTGTTAGTAATCTGTTAAAGAGAAAAGAAATCTTAGTATTTTTAACTCCTAATCTGAAGGTAAGTTCAGCTCTAGACAATAGATATAAAGGTGTGCGTGGTTAATCCAATTAAATATGTTTGAGATGGTCCTACACATCCCATGATTGATTGATTATAAGATCAGCTTACATATTTTGTTTTTCAGCCATGGCTAACATGGATATTTATAATTACATATTTACAATGAAATATACTGAGAGGAAACCAAATTTGTTTTCTTCACTGTCCAAAATATGTAAATCTATAGCTTATCTTTTGTCAAAATCATTTCTGAGTGTACACCCAGATAATGAAAGTAACATTTCCCTTGTATTGTAGCATTAATGACAACTAAAAAAAGGTTCTTCCCATCACTTTTTTAAAAGTATTTTTTCTTTCATAAAGCAATATATTTTCATTATATAAATATAGAAAATGCAAAAAACCATGAATAAAAATTAAACATGTTTATGTGTACATATTCTTTTTAAAACAAATTGGATATAATATATATATGTTTTTATTTTCATTTTTCTTTACTTAGCATAACCATTTCCTTTTATCACTAAATACTTTTGGGAAACATGATTTTTACTGGATGTTTAGTATCCCCAGTCCATGCTATAGATGAACTGTAATTTATTTACAGCTACTTCTTGCTGACATTCAAGTAGTTTCTAATTTTTCATTGTAAAAAATTATGCTGCAGGACATATACCCTTTTGCATTAATTTTGCATATATTTCTGATCCATTTACAGGAATTTATTCTAAGGAAATAAGTTACTGGGTCAAAGGGTATCATGACATTTTAAAGCTCTTGAAATGGATCTGTGTAACCTGCAAAAATTGTCCAAGACTGCTAATAGTATATGCAAACACCCATTTCATCAAATGGTCTTTGCCAGTAAAGGACACTTAATTGTCTAAATTTATATTTTTATTCGTTATTGATAGGATTTAATTTTAATCACATCTTTTGATCTTTTTTTTACTTTTTGTATGTGTTTGTAACTTACCTGTTCACGTCAAAATTTGCCTTTCAGTATTTTCAGAGGCATCAAATAATGACCTCTGAAATGTTGCCAGCATTTATTGAGTCTTCTAATGTTGAAAGAAAGCAAAGCTTAAGTGAAGATCAAGAGAAGAGCCAGAAGCCAAGATTAGGTGAAGGGTTTGAACCAATATCTAAACGACAGATGAAGAAGCTAATTAAACAGAAACAATGGGAAGAACAACGAGAACTCCGCAAGTATGTTTCAAAATGCATATATATGCTACCCCGTTCAGGAGTGCTGAACTTTGCATAGCCCTTTGACACATCAAAAGTGATTGTGATGATTAAAACTGGGGCTATGTATGTTGTTTGCCAGCACTGTCAATTGGCTGTTAAAACTATATTTGTTTCCGCCTTGGTGGATTTACACTATACTTTTTCTCACCCAGAACCTGTTAGGAGTAGCAGCACAGTTTCTGAAATAACTGACTTAGATAAGGGATATAGTTAGCATCCATGTCCTAGATATAGAACAAAAATAACCACCTCAGAAAGATCAAATTTGGCCCTAACATTGATTTTGCTAGAAAAACCATTGTAGGTTTTGGTGAGAGCAGTTAAGCTGAAGCTGTTATTATATAATGCCAACATTTATTGAGGGAAAATAAACTATAGTTGATGTAGATGATAGAAAAAGTAGGGTTTTTTTTAAAAAAACACTTCTACTTTGCTGTATTCTGTATTAATGTTGTTTGAAAATCATGTAGGAGAAGAATGATAAAAGTAAAAATTCATCCTTAAATCTAAAATTCAGTATTTTATGAAGTTTTAGTATAGTGTATTACCAATAATAAATGAAATTAGGAGTAGTAAGGGTTTGTGTAGAAGGTATTATATTGCTTTTGCAAAATTATTTTCTGTCTAAAGCTTTTTGGTGGACTGTATAAAATTGCTGACATTTGATCCACAGAAGTAGCAGTTTCATGTGGTTCAGCCTGTTAATTTAAAAAAATTATTGGCTTTTTTTCTGTTTAGAAGAGTCTTGTAAATATCTCAATATGTAAATAACAACAAAAAGTTTCAATTCCTAATTTTAGACAAAAGCGGAAGGAAAAACGCAAGAGAAAACAATTAGAGCGACAATGTCAACTGGAATCAAACTCAGATGGAAATGACAGAAAACGTATTCGAAGAGATGTTGTTCACAGTACACTCCGCCTTATCATTGACTGCAGTTTTGACAGCTTGATGGTATTAAAGGTATCATGAATCATTCTCAGAAAAATCCTGTAGGTAAAGTAGGGTGAGGGGCACCTGGGTGGCTCAGTCGGTTAAGCGTCTGCCTTCAGCTCAGGTCATGATCCCGCTTCGGGTCCTAGGATTGAGCCCCACATTGGGCTCCCTGCTCAGTGGGGAGCCTGCTTCTCCCTCTCCCTATCCCACTGCTTGTGCTCTCTCTCGCTCACTCTTTCTCTCTCTCTCAAATAAATAAATAAAATCTTTAAAAACGACAAAATAAAGTAGGTTGAATAATTCTTGCTTTAATAGGTAATATCACTTTGATATAAATTTATATACTAAAATGCATCTCAAAGTTTTCCAAGATCATGCCCCCTAAGTTAAACTAGCTAATAAATTGCTCTTATTTATATGCGTAGAAGAGAGAGATACAGACACCGTAATTAGATTACAAGACTCAGTAACTATATTAATCGTAAAGATCCAGGAGTGTTTTTGTTATTTGTCCTAATCAGGAGAAGAAAATAAGAAATGGGATTGGTTTAATAGAATTATTTCTTATTTACTAATTTGAGAAAATTGGCTGTCTGAACAATGTTATTGAAGAAAACATGCTTTACTTACTTTCCAAATCGTTAGTAAGTTACGAAAATAGAGCAGTAGTATGGCTCTAAGAGAGTTTTTCTTCTTTTGTTTTCTCTTAAGAGGAGTAAATATTTTCATGAATTAGCATTTTAAGTGGATACAAAATTGAAATTATTGGTCAGGGTATTGACTTTACTTATAGTAATTATTATGTTAGTATATACTGAAGTTGAATGGAAAATGTCAGAAAGGGCCTGTATTTCCAGAGGAAAAAATGTACCTGTCTAGTCCCTCTCTTCTGCTTATTCTATTCCACTAAGATTGTGGAATGGTCATAGATGATTTTCAAAATGCTGCTTTAAAAATTGCACTCTTTTATAGGACATTAAGAAACTTCATAAGCAGATTCAACGATGTTATGCAGAAAATCGACGAGCACTGCATCCTGTGCAGGTATGTTTGGGGAATTTAAAACAGATTCCAGGTTCCTTTTATAAGTTCCTCGGGAAAAGGCAGAGATATTCCCAATTGCCTGTACAAGAATCTTACAGATGCTTTTCCTTAGAGAACAAAATGCCTATTTGAAAAATGTTTTCATTTGCTACAAAAATAAAATGTTTTCAACATTTTTTCCCATGTCAGTCTTAGTCACACGTTGCACAGTCATCATGTTTTGTACACACTGACCTCATTCCTGTGTAGTTGAACATCTTCACTAAAGGATATATACATATTTTCATACCAGTTTCTCAGCTCTCAATTCCTTCCCTCGCAGGAAGTGAGGGAACTGCCCCCAGCTTGATGTGTGCCATCGTACCTGTGGTTAGGTTACTTCTACCTAAAGGATTTTGAGTCTGTGACCATTTTGAAAGGTATTTCCTTAGACTAATTGGTGGCTGTTAAGAGTAGTTAGGGTCTTTTTTCTATTTGTTTGAATTCTAGGTGACCTAAAAATTAACACTGGTTCACTGATGTTAAGAACCTGAAACTCTTAATATATTTCTGGTTAGATATTTATTTTCTTTTATCGAGTGATGTATTTTTATATTTTTATGTTTTATATTCTTCTCACCCTCGATTAGACTTGCAATAGGTGTCAGGGTTTAGAATCAAAGGAGAATTATGAAGACTATGGACTGGTTAGAAACAGTGGTGGCAAAAGAAATTTAATGAAGACTTGACAGGAAGTAGGGAGTTTGTAGAAGGGCTGTCATTAAGGGAGAGTCAGATTGTAGCTGCTTGTAAAAATGTGGATGGAATACTCAAGGTAGTGGGTTATGAGATACGTGAAACATGTCACTTCTACTGCACATTTATTCTTGTATGTTTAAAGCATGTCACAAATTTATTTTTTTTCTAAAATGACTATATTTTATGGTTCATTGATGATCAGATGAGTATAGAAGAGAAATATAATATTGGACTCTAATAGTCATTTGCTCTCTCTTTCTGTGTCCACCAATCTCTTTACCAGTTTTACTTGACAAGCCATGGAGGCCAGTTGAAAAAGAACATGGATGAAAATGACAAAGGATGGGTCAACTGGAAGGTAATTAAAATAGTTGAACTCTCACATAATTCCAGGTATTTTTACGCTTAAATTTTTTACCTAAATTCACATAATGCCAATAAATATAGGAGTCCACAGTCTCTAAACCCTGTATATCACTGTACCTAAGTCTGATGTTACTAATGGGAGAAGCTAAAGAAACTGAAATGCCTGTTCACATCTGTTCTCATTAATCTCATTTATTTTACCACCAACTTTATTTTTTAATTTTTTTATTTCTATTTTTTATTTAAATCCTAGTTAGATAACATATGGTAAAATTGGTTTCAGGTGTAGAATTTAGTGATTCATCACTTACATTAAACACCCAGTGCTCATCACAGCAAGTGCCCTCCTTAATTCCCATCACCTATCCAGCCTATCCCCTGCCCACCTCTCCTGCTGCAACCCTCAGTTTGTTCTTTACTGCCAACTTTAAAACAATTTTTTAAAACAGGAAAAATTTTTGGGGCGCCTGGGTGGCTCAGTTGGTTGGGCGACTGCCTTCGGCTCAGGTCATGATCCTGGAGTCCCGGGATCGAGTCCCGCATCGGGCTCCCTGCTCGGCGGGGAGTCTGCTTCTCCCTCTGACCCTCCTCCCTCTCATGCTCTCTGTCTCTCATTTTCTCTCTCTCTCAAATAAATAAAAAAAAAAAAAAAGGAAAAATTTTAAAGATCTATGTGTACAATCGCTACCTAGCAAACTGGTGATAAATTATTTGTAAGAGTGAAGTCACTTTAAAATTTGGAAATATACTTGCATTCTGTTTCTACTAAATCTGTGCCATCCCATATGGTGTCCACTATCCTTCCACATGTGGATATTGAACTACTGAAATGTGACTTGTCTGAATGGAGATGTGCTTTAAATGTGAAATATACATTGGATTTCAAAGACAGTACAAAAAAAGGGAGAGAATGTAAAATACCTGCTTGAAAATTTTTTTTAAAATTTATGTTAAAATGATAACATATTCGGTATATTGTATTGGGTACAATATATTAAAATTACTTTCACCAATTTTGCTTTTTTTAATGTGTCCTACTGAAAGATTTAAAATTACATATGTGGCTCACATTTTTTTTTCTATTGGACTAAACTGTTCTCATTTGCAAAGATGACGAATAGATTGGTTTTAGTACTAATGCCTGAGGAACCCTGCCCTATTCAGCGAAGTACTGGGTTAGTCTTATTTTTTTTTCTTTCTCAAAGCCAGTGACAAACTTTCCCTCTCACGCTCACTAATCCCATAATGACTGCATTTATTTTATTTATTTTTTTTTTAGAGAGAGGTGGGGGCAGGGGGAGAGGATCCTAAGTAGGCTCCATGTCCAGCATAGAGCCCGACGTGGGCTTGATCTCATGACCTTGAGATCATGACTTGAGTCGAAATCAAGAGTCAGACGCTTAACCAACTGAGCCACCCAGGCACCCCTGCATTTATTTTAGTAATAGCCTATGGTGTGAAACATTTTCAAAAGCTTTCCTGGGTTTTAGGGGCACCTGGGTGGCTCAGTCGTTAAACGGCTGCCTTCGGCTCAGGTGATGGCCCCAGGGTCCTGGGATTGAACTCTGCATTGGGCTCCCTGCTCCTCCAGGAGCCAGCTTCTCCGTCTCCCACCCCCCCTCCCCTGCTTGTATTACCTCTCTCGCTGTCTCTCTCTTTCTCTCTCTGTCAAATAAATAAATAAAATTAAAAAAAAAAAAAAGCTTTCCTGGGTTTTAAAGTACAATATATTTACCAAGTTTTGTATTCATGCCTATTTTCCTAAGAAATAATGTAATTAGTGTAGGCATACTTTCAGTTATTTTGTGGCTTGTTAAAATTTATTATTTATACCACCAGTTTTCCAGAGACTCACGAGTTCACTGGTCTTTACTCAGGTCCCTCTAGGGGCCCCTATTAAGCATAGGTATCAAATTAATAATACCGTTTTCCAGAAAAATGGCTATATATTACCTAGTAGGTTATACATTTTAGGTGAGAAGTCTCCTTTTTTTATTTCTTTAAAAATTACTAGATAAATGCCATCTGAGTCTGGTGATGCATCATCCTTTATTCTGTCAATGTAGTTTGCAAAATTCTGACTGACAGCTGTTGTTCAGTTTTGGACCTCTGACCTGGTAATTTTGATGAAGACTTCAAATGTGTATCTTTGTAGAAACAGGTGCATGGAATTTATTAAATCTATAAGCCATTTCCTTTTGTGATGATTCATGCAGATGGAGGGGAAGGTTTGGAAAAGGCATTCTTTGGTTGGAGAACAGTGTGAGCAGATATGTGGCCAAAAAAAATGCATTTTTTTATTGGAACAGAGATAAAGTTAGAAAGCTAGGTCAGTGCCATATTCAAGAAAGAGTTATTAAGTAAAGGGATTTAAGTTTTATCCTACAGGTAAAGATAAAACATTGAAAGTAGGTTTTTTAGAAAGTGAGTCTGCCATTGATGTGTGGAAGTAAATTGGAGGGATCTGGGGCTAGAGACAGGGAAATAACAGTAGGAGGCTACTTAAATAATCAGGTGTGAGGTGATGAGGAATTGAAATAATAGGTTCTCAGTAATACATTGTAAAATATTCTTTCATACTTCCCTTCATATGCTGTTGGGTGGCTTTGTCTAAGGAAGAGAAAATAATCGTTTTTAGCCAATTTTCACAAAATCCTATTAATTAATAACATCTTTCTCCTTATGTCTTAAAGGATATCTACATCAAACCAGAGCATTATAGTGAATTCATAAAGAAAGAAGACCTGATTTATCTAACATCAGACTCACCTAATGTATTGAAGGAATTAGATGAATCAAAGGCCTATGTGATTGGAGGGTTAGTAGATCACAACCATCACAAGGTACTATTAAGTTTTTATTTTTACTTTTGCTCATACTTAAAATGGATATAACAATTTTCTTGATAGTAGCAATAATACTAATGATAGCTGATCATTATTGATTGCCTACTATATTCTGAACTACCTTTCTAGCCAAGAAAGTATTTCACATATATTACTCGTTTGCTTAATCCTCCCTACAACACAGTGAGGTCAGTGCTGTTATTATCTATATTTTACAGATGAGGAACTAGAGTCACAGAGAAACTAAGTCTAAAATCAATAGTAGTAGGTGATAAAGCAGAGATTTGAAACCAGCAGATTGTTCCAGAGTCCACATGCCCAAATGATATGCTGTATTGATAGTAGATGCTGCTGAGGGTAAAATTTATAGCATTTATACCAAAATTAATTCCAAATGGTAAATTTATACGAGTTTTTAAATATGTTATTTTCATGGGGTGTGTTTTCTTTTCTCTTATATTTTGTACTTTTCTCTCTTCCTTACCATCCTTACCCTCATTTGAATGAAAAATTACAGAAACTTACTTTCTAAAAGAAAACATTATTTTGTACTTTGCCACCTACTTTGCAATATGCTAAATGCAACCCAACTCAAGAAAAACCATGTTTACCAAGTGTCTGAGGAAATGCTATCAGCAGTAATATGAAGTAATCCATTATCCTTGTATAACATCACTCTGAGGTAGAACTGTCTGTAACATTGGGATAGTTTATATCATCTTGTCCATTATGGTAGCCATGTGGCTGTTGAGCACGTATCATGTACATAGTATGATTGAGAAACTAATCAATTTAAACTTAAGTAGTCACAATTGTGGCCATAACTGGACAGTGCAGCTCTGTAGCATCACAGGGAATTTTTATCAGAATGATCTTTAGCTTTTTAAATTTTTTTCTTAGTGGAAAAATTCTATTTTGTTATTTGTGTAGAATCAAATTTTTTCTCTAATGTTTTTTTCCTGAACTACATTAGTTTTGTTTTCAGAAGCACCTGTCTCAATCTATTATTTGTCCCTAAAATTTGCAAACTACTGGTTAAGAAATTTAGCTCTTCTTTCTCCGGTACTTTGTCTTTTGGCTACTTCAATTCTGTTTAGAACAGGCTCTAAGGATTTTAATTTTGAGGAGAAAATTTGTATCCAACAATCTTTTAATTGATAGGGAAAATAAAATTTATAGGCAATTTAAAATGTTTTTCAAATCAGGTTTTCATTTACTCTGTCTTTGCCATTTGTGCCTCTTAATGTTATGTAATTGAATCATAGTTTTAGGGTCTCCTGGATGGCTCAGTTGGTTAAGTGACTGCCTTTGGCTCAGGTCATGATCCTGGAGTCCTGGGATCGAGTCCCACATCGGGCTCCCTGCTCGGCGGGGAGTTTGCTTCTCCCTCTGACCCTCCCCCCTCTCATGTACACTCTCTCTCTCTCTCATTCTCTCTCTCTCAAATAAATAAAATCTTTAAAAAAAAAAACATAGTTTTATCTTTATATGTATTTACATTCACGGGAAGAGTGATGGTGCTTCTCTAGGAATTCAGTTTGAGTATTTTATTTATTTATTTATTTATTTATTTTAGAGATTTTATTTATTCATTAGAGAAAGAGAGACAGAGCACAAGCAAGGGGAGAGGCAGAGGGAGAGAGAGAAGCAGGCTCCCTGCTGAGCTGGGAGCCCGATATGGGGCTCCATCCCAGGACCCTGGGATCATGACCTGAGCCGAAGGCAGACGCTTAACCATCTGAGCTACCCAGGCGCTCCCAGTTTGAGTATTTTAAACTGAGAGAAAGGCAGTGTGGAATGGTGAAGAGCTATCCGAGTAAAAAGGCATGAGCCGGGTTTTTCTTGTGGTTCTTCCACTGAGGAGCTTTGTGATGGGGTTTCCTCATTTGTAAAGCTGTTAAAACAAATGCCTAAACATTCTGACGATACTTATTGTCAGAAGAACACTTCCAGATTAGCAATTACACACACACACACACACACATTGTCAGATAATGTTCTCTGAACTATAGTTTTTCTTAAAAGTACTTATTCTGTTGTAGACTTTAAGTTAAAATAATCTAATGTTCTAGTCCAAGTTATAGTATCTTTGTTTTAGGGACTCACATATAAACAAGCATCAGATCATGGAATTGACCATGCACAGCTACCCCTTGGAAATTTTGTGAAGATGAATAGTAGAAAAGTTTTGGCAATTAATCATGGTAAGCTATAAGGGGATTATGAATATATGCCTGAGTGAACAATGTGAAGAATAACATTACCTTTGGACAAGTAGAAAATATACATCTTGCTGGAGAAAAAATTATAAAATGTAATCATTTATAATTTGAATCTAGAAATAATACATGCATATTTTAGAAAAAATTGGAAATATAGAAAAGTATAAAGAAAAAAAAGCTATAATTTCACTACCCAGAGATACTTGGTATTAACTTTTTGGTGTGTTTCCTTCCAGTTCTTTTCCTATACATATATAATATTATTTGTTACATAATTGGATTTTTACTCTGTTGCATAAAATGTTATAAATTTGGGTGTTTTCCCTCATTTATAATTATATTTTCTGTCATTGAATCATTATTAATGGCTACATAATATTCCATCATCTGAATATACAATAATGTAACTGTTCTGTTCTGTTGATTTTTTTTTTTTTTCTTTTTTACTATTGTAAATAACATTGTGGTATTCTTGGACCTGAGTCTGCCTGGAGTTTTGCTTTTAAGATTTTTTTTTAGTAGAAATTTTTGTTAGTATACAACTATTTATTGGGCTCTTATGTGCTAAACACTTTCTCTAAAGCATGCTCTAGGGAACTATAGAAATGAACTTACTGATTCAAGGAATGAACTTCTTCTAAGACCTTTGATAGTGGAAATTACTTTTCCATAAAGTAATGCAAATTAAGCCCGTCAGCAATATATTAAAGTGAGAGTACCTTGCAGACAGTATTTATATTCTTTACCTCTGATGTAAAAAAAAAAAAGCAGGCAAGATGCTCCCCAGAGTGAGTGACTCTCTATAGGAAAGACAGAAGAAATTTAGATTAATGCTAACCTTTTGTTTTGTTTCTAGTTTATGTTACCATATAAAGGATAAAGAAGAATAGGAAGGAAATTAAAAAGGTCCCCTGCCTATTGATTATAATTGACAGAAGATAATGGTAAATCTTTGAGTGCTCATGAACTGAATTGAGAAAAAACTAGAGAAGAGGTTAACAAGCCTGGAGGGCTTTGGGGTGGATTGGCTCTGACAATGCATAGGAGAAGGAAGTGATACGAACAAAGTAGTTACTAGGACATATTAGCACTCTTCATACCAAGGCAGTGTTTTTTAAAATACAGAATGCAACATTGTGATGAACCTGGCTAAGAAATGTATGGAGTTTGTCTTTGTTGCAGTGTTTGAGATTATTCTGGAATATCTGGAAACCAGAGACTGGCAAGAAGCATTTTTTACTATTTTACCCCAACGGAAAGGAGCTGTTCCCACAGACAAAGCCTGTGAAGGTTCTTCGCATGACAAGAAATCTGCCAGGGTTGAAGATGGATTGGACAGTGATTCCAGTGAGGAAGAAAATAACAGAAATGAACTAGAATCACCACATGAAGAAGAAAAGCAGGATAAAGAAAATAGCAATGAATCTACAGTGAACTCTATACCACACTAATGTCATCTGTTGTTTTTTGTTTTGTTTTTTGTTTTTTTAGCTTAAGGAAAACTTAGGAGAAAATGAGGTGCTTCATAGAATATTCTAATTGGGAGAAAATTTTATTTCCTCTTATTTCTGTTGTGAATTTTTAAAACTTTTTTTAGAGCTAAGTGATAAAAAGCCCTTATAAGAAAGTATTTTTGTTTTTGCATAAAATTTAAATGTTTAATATTTAAAATAATTTTCTAAGTCTCAACAGTTTCTTGAGAATTTTACTTTATTGGTAAACCTTCATTCTCTTTTATTTACTGGATTATATTTTTTAGAATGTGCCTTCTGACCTTTCAGTTTTACTTTTTTATGTTTATATCAAGTGTCTTTCTGATTTATTGCCTACTTAGTTGTGGAGATATTCATAAATCTCCTGTAAGTCTACCAAAATGTTCTGTATGGGAGGCTACCTCCTATTTGCAGCTTTTTTATTCAACTCAGTTACTTCAAAAGAATGCAGTTATTTTAGGAAGAAGTATTAGATTGATAAGCTCAACAATTTATTTCTTTTGGACTATGGAACCCATCTCTGTTCCTTCTCTGTGATGCCTTTTCGTGGTTCTAAAGCAATCACTGAAGAGTAAAGACTCTCTTTAATGTATTTTCTTGATTTCAATAATGGTGGTAAATTATTTCAGTTACAAATGTAATTTTTCAGACTAGATTATTTTAAAAGGCCGTTGAGTATCAATTTTGTCTTAAATTTAAAAGGAAACAGCTCTTAGCTATCCTTTCCTTCTATATGAACTTCTATTAAATAAAATATTTCTTGGTTCTTAAAGTGAATAAAGTTAACTTTATATGTGCATCTGTCTACTAGCATATAATATGCAAGCTTATATAACTGTATGTTTCTGTAAATAATCTAAGCATATATGAAAAAGTATATATAATTGTATATATATCTGTCCATAATCATGTATCATTAATGATAACAGGACTGAGTTGCCAAATAGCTGTATTATTTGCATCAATGATTGTGTGGAACAACACTAAGAATTTGAATTTCAGTAAGTGCAAAAATCCTTAACTAAATATTTGTATGAGGACATTGGCAAGGGAAGATGGGGCTAAAAGGAGATGTTTTTATTTTCTCCTGGTAAATGTAGAGCAGTTATGTTTAAAGTAGTGATTGTTCTTTGTCACAGCTAAAGTAAGATTTCAGAAGACTTCACTGAGTTTGGATAAATTAAGTTTCTGTTCTTTTTACTCCTTGGCATCTCAAATTATGTACACATTTGGTAGAAAGTTCATTAGATTTAGTACTGATATTACTGTCTCTTAATTTTTGTTGCTTTATTCTTAGTAATCTATTATCATTATCCATTTAAAATAAGGTCTGTGAGCAAGGTATATAAATAAAAGCCCCTACAATTCTAGAAGAGCAAAGCTTATGTCTTAAGTTGTATTTTTCAGAGGTTCAGGTTTTCCTGAGTAAATATGGTTTAGTACCATGAAATCCAGTTGACCCTTGAAAAGTGTGGGGGTTAGGGGCACCGACCCCCCCACACACACAGTTGAAAATCCACGTATAACTTTGTCCCAAAACTTAACTAATAGCCTACCATTGACCAGAAATCTTACGGATAACACAGTAAGTGTATCAACACATATTTTGTATATGTATTATATACTGTATTCTTAAACTAGAGAAAATGTTAAGAAAATTGTAAGAGAAAATACATTTATAATACTATACTGTATTGAAAAAAATTCACATATAAGTGGACCCATGCATTTCAAATGTGTGTTGTTCAGGGGTCAACTGTATTATGCCTTTTACTTAAATTACTTGATATGGAATGAGGCACAAGTTAATTTTGAAAGGCAGGGAAAAATCATTACAGGCACTGTGTAGTTTAATTGTCACTAATTATGAAAGCCCTGTATTATTTCCTAGGGCTGCCATAACAAATTACCACTGCGTAGCTTAAAACAACAGACGTTTTTTCTCTTATAGTGCTGGAGGCTAAAAGCTCAGAGTCAAGGTGGATTGTGTTCCCTCTGAAGGCTATAGGGAAGAATCCTTTGTACCTCTTCTTGGTTTTTGGTGGGCCCAGCAATCCTTGCTATTTCTTGACTCCAGTATCTGCTTTGTCATCAAATGGCTTCTGCCCTCAGTCTTCCTTGCCTGTGTCTGTGTCCCTCTTATAGGCATATCAATCATTGGATTAGTGTCCAACATAATTCAGTATGACTTCATCTTAACCTGATCACATTTGCAAAGATCCTGTTTCCAAATAAGGTCATATCCAAAGGTACAAGATATTAGGGCTTGAACTTATATTTGAGTAGGCACAGTTCTATCCATACAAGTCCATATCTTAGGCTGTTGATGATGAGAAGGAGACACAACCTTCGCCTCAGAAAAGGTAAGTTTACAATTAGAAATAAGTAATTGATGGGGCGCCTGGGTGGCTCAGTCGGTTAAGCGTCTGCCTTCGGCTCAGGTCATGATCCCAGGATCCTGGGATCGAGCCCCGCATCGGGCTCCCTGCTATGTGGGGAGCCTGCTTCTCCCTCTCCTCCCCACTTGTGCTCTCTCTCTCACTATCTCTGTCTCTCTCTCTCAAATAAAATCTAAAAAAAAAAAAAAAGTAATTGCTGAGGTATTTAAAAATGGTTTTTAAATAATACTAATCTCTTATTTTAATGTATTATTTTCTCTCAACATTGTTTTGGCTTATTGAGGTGCCTTATTTAAGACTTCACTAATATTGAAGTCACCTGTATTGGAACATAATAAAGGGAATTCGGCTAGTATTTTTTTTTAAGATTTTATTTATTTATTTGACAGAGAGAGACACAGCGAGAGGGAACACAAGCAGGGGGAGTGGGAGAGGGAGAAGCAGGCTTCCCGCAGAGCAGGGAGCCCGATGTGGGGCTCAACCCCAGGATACTGGGATCATGACCTGAGCTGAAGGCAGACGCTTAACAACTGAGCCACCCAGGCGCCCCTCCGCTAGTACTTAAATAAATACATCAAAAGGAGATATGTCTCCTGAAATAATAAAATTTTCTCTTTGCAGTCTTAATAAATCAAGTTCATTCATAAAGGAAGGAGCATTCTTCAGACTGATTCTCCAGAAATCAGTGTGTTGCCATCTTGGAGCATTTGAAAACACTTGAGATTGGAAAAGAAAAAAAAAAAAGCAAGCAATTCTGAAAGAATGTTAAGGTGAATGAACAATTATGAAACCCATCAATTACTGCCAATTACAAAGTAAAGTGATAGATCATTTCACTTTTTAGATGGAGAGAATCACAGATGATATAGGTAAAATGCAAGAATTGTCCATAGAGCACTGAGAACATGTACAGACAACAGTTGTAAAAAGAAAATTTAAAAAGGGAAAAAAATGGCAGAGATTAGAATTAATGACAGCAGTGGCCTATGGTGCTCATTAAACTTTGATCTTAATTGGCATAGAGATGTTTATGTGTTTCTAGCTCCTAGCCAGACACATAGAGGAGGCACTTCATAAATGTGAAGGAGAGAAGCAGTGTCAGAATGAAGAGACAATAAAGTTAGTAGGAAGAGTAGGCTTAAATTTGGTCACAGTCACCTGTTAATGAATTTGGGGAACTTAATGAACCTCTGTTGGTCTTTGTATCCTCCCTTGTGAAATAGGAATGTTACCCATTTATCCTCTCAGGGTTGAGCAATCAATTGATTTGAAACGAGCAGCAGCTAACTTCACAATACTTCCTCATTAACATTTCTTCATAGCTTGCCTTGTTTCCCTTGTTTCTCATTCTTCTTTGATATTATCTGCCCCCCCCAAAAAATAAATAATATATAAGCCTTTGTTCAGACTCTGCTTTCTGAGGAACCCAGATGTAGATAAGATTTTTAAAAATGTGAACTTTCTAAATTACCAGAATGAACACTTATGAAACAAAATATCACAGATCATTTAGTGAAATATTTTAAAAGGCAATGAAAACAGAATGCTAACATAAAACACAATAACCACACAAAACCAAATCTCTCCTATGAGCAAGTCTAAATGTCTAAAATCACCCAAGTTGGATTGAAAAAAACCCCAAACCTAAATAAATATATGTTGTACTTAAATAATGTTATTTAGAAGTGTTGAAAAGAAAAGAATAGAGAAAAGCATATTGAGCTAATAATAAAAGAAAAAGAAGTCACAAGTTTAACATTGGGTAGAGATCGACATTATAATTAAACAGGAAACAGAAGGGCATGTTGTAATGTTCAAGAATGCAATCCTTATGGGTGCCTGGGTGGCTCAGTCAGGTGTCTGCCTTTGGCTCAGGTCATGATCTCGGGTCCTGTTCAGCAGAGAGCCTACTTCTCCCTCTCCCTCTACCCACCCCACCACCGCTATGCACGCACACGTGCATGCTCTCCCTCTCAAATCTTTTTTAAAAAATAAAAATAATGCAATTCTTAATGATTTGACAGTTGTGAATATCAATGTACAAAGTAGCATAGTATTCAAATTCATTGAGAAAAAACTTTGGGAATTATATGAAATACTAAGAAATGCATTAGTATAAGGAGACTTTAACACATGCTTCCCAACCCATGATAGCTCAAATGGACAAAAGATAAATATATGGGAGATGTAAATGCTATAATTAATAATCGATATATATCAAGTCCTCTAGGCTGAAAGTAGTTTTCCATGTAATGTTCATAAAAGTATCTATATATTAGGCCACAAAAGAAAATAAGTTCCAAACATAAGAAATAGGCAGCTTCTCTGATAATACATTAAAGTAGGAAATAAACTTGTAAATGGGAGGAACGCCTTACCACCTAGAACTTTTTTCTTCAGTGTTAGATGGTCCTTATGGTAAAAATTAGTGTTAGAGATAAAGTTGGTCATGACTTCATTATAAAATTTTAAAATGTGTTTACATATCACTTCAAAATGTATGAATCAAAATGGACAAAATTACAAAGACCACAGAACTACAACATGTACCTTAATAGTTGGAAATTTTTATTACACATCTTTCTAATTGATAAATCAAACACAAAGAAAAATTAGATAGGATATATAAAATTTGAAAAGCACAAATAACACTTTTTTTTAAATTTTTTTACAAATAACACTTTTGTTCTAATGGATAGATCTGCAACTTTGTGTCCAACAATTTTAAAATTCTCATTCTTTTCAAGTCATATGGGACATTTATAAAATTGACCATATGCTAAACCTCAAAACTACCCTCAAGAAAATAAAAGGATTGGTCATTTTTACAGATCACATTATCTGACCACAATGCAATTAAATCATTTAAAACTATAGCAAGTTTGAAAAACACTCAATGGGAAGTAAAAAAAAAAAACAAGAAAAAAACTTCTAAACAACTTGGTCACAGAAGAAAGTAAAAATTAGAATACATTTAAAAGTAAATTTAATGAAACCATGGATTAAAAACTTGTGGAATGTAGCTAAAGCAACATTTAAAGGAAAATGTATAGCCTAAATTGCTTGAGTTAGAGAAAAAAAAAGACTAGCGTTATTGAGCTATGCATTTAACAAGTTAAAAGAAGGACTGCAGAATAAATTCAAAGTTGAAAGAGGGAAATAATAAAGATAGCAGTAATAATTAAACAGCATAAATATGAGGCTCAAGGCAAAAGTTGACTCTGAAAAGACTAATAGACTAAACTCTAGCAAAGTTAAAATTTAAGAGGGAGAGAGAAGACATATAAATATGGAAATTAATAATGGAGATATTGGAAACATGAATGTTATAAAATACTTCATGTCAATACATTTGAAAGTTTATATGAAATAACTAAGTTATAAATTAACATTTCCAACTTAAAATTTAGAACCCCAAAGAATTTTTTAACTCAAAGTAAACTGGTGTAGTGTTTTAAAATATAGGCCCATTATGTTTTATAGGCATATCTGTGAGACATACCAAATGTAAATAAGTCAACTTACACAGACTCTTTGTAGATAATTAAAAATGAGAGAACACTCATTTTATGAAGCTTATTAACTGTGCTGTTGAAGTCTTATATATTTTCCCACTTATATATAGCTTTAATTATGGTAAAACACAACATTAAATTTACCATCTTAACCATTTTTAAGTGTACAGTTTAGTAGTGTTAAGTATTTTCACATTGTTGTGCAACAGATCTGTAGAACTTATTCATCATGAAGCACTGAAATTCTATGTCCACTAAACACTCAATTTCACCTCCCCTCTCCCACCAGCCCTTGGTAACCACCTTTCTACTTGGCTTGTGATTTTGACTACTTTAGATACTTCATATGGTGGAATCATACAGTATTTTGTCCTTTTGTGACTAAAATCCTTTTACTTAGCATAATGTCCTCAAGGTTCATCTATGTTGTAGCATGTGAAAGGAACTCCTTTTTAAGCTGCATAATATTCCACTGTAAGTATGTACCATATTTTCTTTATCCATTCATCTGCTTCAGCCTCGGGCTATTTTGAATAATGCTATGAATGCAGTATGAAAATATCTCTTTGAGATCCTGCTTTCAATTCTTTTCCATATGTAGACTGAAGTGGGATTGCTGGGTCATATGGTAATTCTATTTTAATTTTTTGAGTAGACTCTAGTGTTTTCCATAATGGCTGTATTATTTTACATTCCCACCAAATGCATAAGGGTCCAACTTCTCCTCATCCTTGCCAACATTTATTTTCTGTTCTCTTGATAGTGGCCCTGATGGCTGTGAGGTGATATCTGGATTTGATTACATTTCCCTAATGATTAATGATGTTGAGCATGTTTTCATGTGCTTCCTGGCAATTGGCATATCTTCTTTAGAGAAATGCCTATTCAAGTCCCTTGCCCATTTTTAAATAGCAATGTCTTCTATCATTGAGTTATAGAAGTTCCTTATATATTTTAGATATTAATCCCTTACCAAATATATGATTTGCAAATATTTTTCCCCATTCCATAGGTTGTCTTTTCACTATATTGTTTCTTATGACACCAAGTTTTAAAGTTTAATGGAGTCCATCTATTTTTTATTTTGTTGCTTCTATTTTTGGTGTTATATCCAAGAAATCATTGCCCAATCCAATGTTAAGGTTTTCCCCTGTGTTTTCTTCTAAGAGTTTAAAAGTTTTAGGTCTTACATTTATGTCTTTAATCAAATTTGAGTTAATTTTGTATATGGCATATGGTAACTTCATTCTTTTGCATGTGGAATACAGTTTTCCTAACACCATTTGTTGTTTAGTCTTGACACCTGTGTTGGGGATCATTTGGCCATAAATGCAAGGATTTATTTCTGAGCTCTCTATTCTGTTCCCTTGGCCTATATTTCTGTCTTTATGTCAGTACAACACTATCTTAATTACTGTTGCTTTATAGTATGTTTTGAAATCAGGGAGTGTGAGACTTCCAACTTTGTTCTTTTTCAAGATTTTTTTAGTTTTTTGGGGTCCCTTGAGATTCCATATGAATTTTAGGATTTTTTTCTCTATTTATGCAAGAATCTCAATCTGCATTGAGATTTTGATAGGGATTACACTGAATCTATAGATCTTTTTGGGTAGAGTGGACATTTTAGCAATATTGTTTTTCAATCCTTAAGTATAGGATGTCTTTCTATTTATTTGTTTCTTCTTTAATTTCTGTTAGTGGTGTTTTGTAGTTTTTAGTGTAAAACTTTTACTTCCTTGGTTAAGTGTATCCCTAAGTATTTTATCCTTTATGATGCTATAGTAAATGGGATTTTTTCTTAATTTCCTTTTTGAATTGGTCATTGTTAGTGTTTAGGAATGCAATTGATTTTTGTATCATCAACTTTGCTGAATTTGTTTATTAATTCTAACAGGTTTGTGTGCGGGGGTGTGTGTGTGCATATAATCTTTAGAGTTTTCTACAAATAATAGCATGTCATGTGCAAATAGATCATTTTAATTTGCTTTTTTTCCAATTTTTTTTTTTTTGCCTTTTATTTCTTGTTCTTGTCTGATTGCTCTGTTTAGAATTCTGTTCCAGTACTGCATTGACTAGAAGTATGGTGAGAGAGGGCATTCTTGCCTTGTTCCTGATCATAGAGCAAAATCTTTCAGTGGTTCCCCCTATTGAATATGGTGTTAGCTGTGAGCTTTTAATATATGGCTTTTTATTAGGTTGAAGTGGTTTCCTTCTATTCCTGGTTTGCTGAGTATTTTAATTATGAAGGGTATTGAGTTCTGTCATCTTAAAAACTTATGCTAATACCTGAGAATGAATGAATATAACTGTAGTAATAAATCCAACTCAAGACATTAGAATACTAATGAATCTAAAGAAACTAAAGTAATGAAAGGAGATATTAATGAAATAAAGTATAGGAACATTTTGGAACATAACACTAAATCCATCTGATTTTTTTGAAAGTGATAATAAAATGTAAAAAGCCACTAGCTAGCTGAATCAAAAAAACTACAAATACATAAAAATGAGATTGCAGAATAAATATAGCAAGGAATTTAGAATTATCACAAATCTGTCTCAGTTCTATGAAGGTAAGTTTGGAAACGTGGATGAAAGGCTTAATTTTCTAAGAAAATTAAATTTCCAAAGTCAGTCCTCCAAAATACAGAAAATATAAACAGGCCAGTTATCGTAGAAGGAATAAAATTGTCAAAGGGCTACCACCCCACAAAACACCAAACCTACGTGGTCTGTCAGATAGGTGAATTTTACTAAGTTTTCAAGGAAGGGGAATGTGCAGTGCTATTGTAAGCTCTCTGTAACAGAAAAAAAAGAAAAAGAAAAGGCTTTGACATTAACTTTATGAAGTGAGACTGGTTTGGGTACATATCAGTAGCGACTAGTGGTTAAGCACATAGGTTCCAGCCACTAAACCCTTGTGTCAGAGAGCTCACTGTCCATCAGAATTCAGTTTTCCTTTCCATAGAATATAGTTGTACCTGGAATATGATTCCTACTTAAGAATTTTATCAGCCCCCTTCAAGCTAGACAATTTTTCAACTATGGAATGTGACTAGAAGTAATGTTTGCCATTTCAAGGCCAAGATTTTAAGCAGATTGTGCCCTCCCTAAGGAAAGCAGAATAATGTCCCGTTAAGATCCTAATCCCTGGAACCTGTGAGGTTAGACAGTAAGGGAAAATCAAATTGCTAATCATTTGACCTTGAGATTATCTTGGATAAGCTGGATACCAGGCAGGCCCGGTGCAATCACAGGGTCCTTAACAGTGGAAGAGGGGGGCAGAAGAGTCAGTGTCTGAGGGATATGTTGTGAGAAAGACTCCACTGGCCATTGCTCGCTCTGAAGATAGAAGGGAGCCATGAGTCAAGGAGTGTGGGTAACTTCTAGAAGTTGCAATAAGCAAAGAAACAGAGTCTCACTTAAAGCCTCCAAAAGGAATACAGCTCTGCCAACACCTTGATTTTAGCCCAAGAGACCCATTTCAGACCCCTGCCCCAGATATGTAAGAGATTAAATCTGGGTTGATTTAAGCCACTAAATTTGTGGTAATTTATTACGGCCCCCATAGGAGATCAAAACTTTCTTCCACTTCCCTTTCCCTCTTTTGCCAGCAGGAGGCAGTTGTCCATGAAACCCCAGGGGATGGTTAAGTCACAAGATGGAAGGATCCTGGGACCCTGAATCACCAAGTAAAGCAAAATCACCTGCTGACTAAAAACACACACACTTTGCTGGGTTTTTTTATTTTTTTTTTATTATGTTCAGTTAGCCAACATATAGTACACCATTAGTTTTAACCAGGTGATGGGTATAAAGGAGGGCACGTGTGGTGATGAGCACTGGGTGTTATATGCAACTAACGAATTGTTGAACACTCCATCAAAACACACACTTTGAACTCCTATGTGAGAAGTAATCCTCTACTGTATTTGAAAGAAGGCATTTATTACAACTGTTTATCCTATCCCAATGAGCACAACTCTCGGCACCTCAGTTTTCTTATTTAAAAAAAAGAGAGAATAGCAATAGTAGCTATCTCAAATAGTTATTGTGAAAATTAAATGTTACTATATCCAAAGTGTTTAGAATGATTCCTGACACACAAGTATGATAAAAATAATTGTGTTTAACATTGCACAAACACGAGGCGCCTGGGTAGCTAAGTCCGTTAAGCGTCCAATGCTTGATTTCAGCTCAGGTCATGATCTCAGGGTCCTAAGTACAGCCCCACATCAGGCTCCATGCTCAGCAGGGAGTCTGCTTAAGGATTCTCTCTATCCCTCTGCCTCCCCCCCACACTCCCTCTCTCTAAAAAAAGAAAAAAAGCGTTGCACACACCCATGCACACATACACAAAATTTGCAGTATCTCTTGAATATTGTTGCAAACATTCTAAAAGATTGGCTAATTGGTAGATAGAATCCAGCAATACACTGAAAGAATAATAGCCATGGCCCAAGAGTGGTTTATTTTAAAAATACAAAAAAGCTAAATATTAGGAAATTTGTTAATATCACTCACAATTAGCAAAGAGTAGAAATTCTTTCCTTTCTGGCTCATAAATTCATGATAATTTTTATATCTTTTTTTTGGGAGGAAGCCAGTATTTTTCTATTATCACTACAGAATCCACTCAGTATTCCAACAGCACTGAAACATTGTAGATTGTGAAAATTAGCTCAGATGTTAAAATTCTGTGTTTGTTTTTATTTTTTCTCTATCAAGAGTTTGGGGCATGTGTCAAACCGCAGCTGCCTGATTCTGGTGTGGATGGTTTTCCTAGTGTCAGGACCCTATGTTTATGTACAAATACAATCAGTGCAAGACTAGAAATGTAGTATATAAATAAACATACTTCTTTCACACATGGTGCTAAATTAACTACAAATAGAAATACTGTCTCCATTATTATTTATTTAGTAGCATTATATACAGGTGCTTTGAGATTTACATATGCCACCAGCTATTGATTCTCTGATACCAAAATATTTTTTAAAAATAATTTGATATTGTTATGGAGTGAAGCTCATGTCTGTGAAAGAAATTGCTCAATCTAGAATTTCTACCTTTGGAATGTTTAAGGATAAAATGCTCTCTGGGGAGAGAGATTGCATCCTTGTTGCATACTCCTTGCAGACACTGGTTTTGTTGATAAGCTTTCCTGAATTTTAGGCCTGGGAGGAGATTTTGGTTTGCTGAAATATTCTGCAATGGGCATTTTCATATTATTTCTTCTTATAAACAACGGAGGCCTGTGCTCAGCCTCTGAAATAGAAAAAAAAACTAAATAAGACCAAAATTGAGCCATCAAATATAGCTTCTGCCACATGTTTTAGTAGCAAATGACATACACACAAAAAAAAAAACTACATAAAGTTTAGGTGAATCAAATATACCCCAAGTTCATAAAAGAATCTATTCTTATCTTTCTTACCACCCGCTCATTTTTCATGAGTTATTTGTTTTATAACATGCAGGATATGTTCTATCCTCTTAAAATCAAACATTATTGTGGAAGGAATGAATTAGAACTGGTGATCTGTAGAGGTGATAGGCAAGGATGGGACCAGTGTGAGAAAGGAAAAGGATCTATAGTCCTGATAGACAAAAAAGAAAATGGACAAACAGATTAAAACAAGTGAATTATATGCATAAGAGCTTCCTAAGACCTATAGGTCAGACCCGAGCAGGAATACGGATTTGGAGAGGTGCTATCACCACTGGAGACAAAGAAGTATGATTGGGGCTTCTTATACAAAACTTCTTCAAATAGCTAAACAGGGGCCAACAGGTAAGACATAAAGTTGAGTAATAAAAACCATCCCTGTTGTGATTTTGTACTGTTAGGGTGAGGAGTTTGGTAGAAGTCAGATACAATAGACTATCCTTGGTGTGTCAGAGTAAGGGAGTATTTTCTAACTTCTCTACTATATTTCTTATTGCCTGTTAGCACATATAACCTCTTTTAGGTTTGGTTAACACCAACAAAAGCTGCTGGGGTTTAGAGTGACCTCAAAGAACTCTAATTGGTTACCATACGATTCCTGGTAGAAGAGAAACTTGTAGAAACAACAGGATAGACTTTCATTTGAGGCTTGAAGACATACTTCTTAGTTGTTTGCTCTATAGTCATTGTTGCTACACTTGTTTTAAAGTTAGAAGCTGCTAAACCCACAGGAATGTTTCAGTTGGTCTATTCTGGACCAAAGTAGGACAATCTACAATTCTTTATTCTTCTTGGTCCTAACTGTAGGGTGTGGCTGGGCTTCTGGTAGGGACACAAAACTGCTCCTCTCTCTTGTACTTCACCTGTTTCACAGAGCATCTGCTTGCGGCCGATTGCCATTTTACTGTTTTCTATGATCAACTTGGTTTCTAGTTAAAATAATTTAGCTTGACAGTTAAGCTATGAAGAACCAAACTCTGAGATCATTGTCCTTTTGTTAGGTCAGTGCAGGGCTTCTCCGGTCACTGGACTGGCATGACTAAACCTATATTTCCTGCTATCCTGCTATCTTACTTCTCAAAGAGTATCTATCTGTCTCTGATGAGGCACTTTGCCTTTCAAAACAAAGTTAAGTTTATGTCAAATTTGTCTTGATGAGAAATTCAGCAGACACTGTCCCTTAAAAGTAATTAGAAATCATTACTGAATTTTACTGCCTTTAAAACCATAGAACCTTGTCTGTGTCCCTAAAGAGTTAAATACTTACTGGTTTCCCTATACCAACCCAGTAATTATCACAAACTGTACTTAACCTTTTGGCGCTTCCTTATTTCCTTCAGATCCTTGACTTGACACTCTAAGTAATTGGAGAAAGAGAAAATGAAATTCACAGATGCAAACAAGTTATTTTCTATAGGTTGCACTATCATCAATAAGCTAGGTACATATATATCTTAAGTATTCTATCCTAATTCTTTGTTTTTGATGCAGAGAGCATTAAGTGTACTTTCCAATGAAAAATTCTTCTGATTTTCAGTAGAAAGACTGACCCTATTTCCCAGTTTCCAATTTTATGGAAACTTTAAGGTGGAGACAAATTGCAATACAAAATTCTCTCAGTGATTGTTAAAGTGACTTGGGTTTTGAATATTTATTTTCTCTTGAAACTTTTAATTTCAAAGCAACAAGATTTTTTCTCCTGACTTAAATAACATCACATTCTTTCACCATATTATACATAAATATGTATTTTCTTCTGTCATTTAAATAAAGTTTAAGAAAAATTTACACTAAAATAATTTCCAACTCCTGTAATTGTTATTTTTCCCTCTAGCAGCCTGCAGGAGTGTGCCAGAGAAAATTAAGTGAAGCAATTTATTTTAATCTAGCATTGCTCTACACAAAAAAAGTGATACTTGTGTGATATGCCTTTAAAAATAAATATATAATAATAATACAATTACTGCTTTATTGCTTCCATTTTTAGATAGATAAATACATTTTCTTACAAAATGTATTATTACATTAGAAAATTACATTTTCTTACATTTTCTTACAAATAAAATACATTTTCTTAGATGTCTGGGTGGCTTATAATAGGATTTAGAATGATTCTCATATTACATTTATGAAAATGAAAGAAAACAAATACACATTGTGGTCATTTACTGAATAAGAAGAGACTGAAAACATCAGCATGTTTAGTGTTTGGAAAGATAACAAAAGAAAATTAAAAGTCTTTCTGTACCATATGCCCTGTAGGTAGCCATTATATCTAATTACCTAGTGGGTTGATGTCCTTGCGTCGTTCTGGTCAGCACTTTCAATTTTGCAGGTGAATTCGGGGGTGATTTAACTTTGGACGGCTTCCTAGTCTCTGCAGCTAGATTTGCTATGCTGTTTCTTTGTTGGGCCAACAAGTTTATTTCAGCCAGTTCAGCATGAATCAAAGCTGAGACCCACTCTTTTTCTGATTTTAAAAAAAGGGGGGTAGGCATGAAGGTTATAATTATCATGTCGGCTAGAAACACGAGATTAGTTCTTTTATCCAGCACTCTAGTGTGAAAGGCTGGTAATATGTTTTCTGAGTAGGCATTTATTTGTGAGTCAAGGTTTCTGTGGACAAGTTGGTTCCCATCATCCTGATATCTGTGCAGCTGTGGTACTATAGAGCTCCCCGAGTCATTAACTCACTGAGGGACTTGTCCCCAAATGGCAGTAGAATAACTTTTAAGTATTCAGTACAAAACCCGCCGTTCAGGCTGCTGCCAAATAAAAAAAGAAAGCATATCTATTCAAAATCATATGATCTCATTAAAATACAGACTAATAAATAATAAATAGTTACAAGCATATCTCTAAAGATATATACCAAAGTCGTCACTGAAATGATGTCTGTGATGATTTGATTGATTATTGTTCTTCTTTTCTTGTATTTTTTCTGGTTCATCTGGGCTCCCCTCCAACAATAAGCACTTATTATTTGTATGTATTTTTTAAAGTTACATTCTTAAAAAGGAAAAAAAAAGATAAGAACTAAAGACTCCTTACCCCCAAATATTTAATTGCTTGCCAAGTAGTCTTGGATTCCTGGGTAAAAGACTATTTCCAAAATACTCCCTATTCAAAAATATTAGTCTATCCCTAACACATTGATATTTCCTAACCTTCATTAGTGCAGATTCTCAAAGAGTGGCCCCCAGACTAGCTTTATCAGCATCACCTGGGAACTTGTTAGAAATTCAAATCCTCAGGATCCACTCACCTCCGAAGTTTTGCCTCAGTCAGTCTGATGACCAGCTAGGTTTCAGGACAGCTACTCTTTGCTATTTATGGTTGTCCCAACTGGGACCGGCACATGCTTTCACGGAACAGGCCACAAAGACCCCAAAGGAGGCTGGGAGAGGACTGGATTGATGGTTTTGGTGGGGCAATTGGCAAGACTGTTAGAATCGAGAACTTGGAAAGCTACGCTACTGCCATCCATACCAGAGAAAGGAAACAGGCTCTGTGCTCAGGGCTCACAGCAGGCCAGGAAATAGGCTCAGGGATACCCCTGGGTGTGTGGACCTGGAGAAGAAGCACAAACCAGCCCTGGACGCAGTGCTTCACATCACCCCAAGAAGTTTAAATTGGGGCATGCCAAATTTGGGGTCACTGAATGACCAGTTGCATGCAGTCAGTCAGAGAGACTCGCAGAGACTTGGCTACTGAATCACTAGGGAAGTAATATTGCAGCAGTATGTTTGCAAAGCCAAGGTAGAAAATTTCAGATATTGGCACATTCCTACTTTCTGACAAGAAACTGAGCTCAGCGTTTGCAAATACTTCTTTTAATCTCACCTTTTGAGCTTGCATGAAGTAGCCACTGTAGAACTTCAGCCAGAGAATCAGTGCGTAAAATGTTACAGAGCTTTGCCAGAATCTGACAGAGAGTATTAGAGTCACACAGTGAGCAAATAAACAGCACACGGGCTATAAGATTTCCTTCACTTCCCCATCGATCTCATCTTCCCAAATGTCACTCTGCACGTGACACTCAATTAAGTCAAGTGGGATGTTAGCCTGGGAACCCGATTTCAAATAGTATGCAGTGGAATCTTAAAACATCTCCAATACAAGTAACAATTTGGGGGTAGGTGATACAGTGTTTCTCTTGTTTTGTCTGCTCAGTACCCACATTTTCTGGAGGACAGATTCTCTTTTCTTCTTTCTGGGGGAATGGATCCTTCCCCGCTGTGCCAGGGGTTCTAACTGGGATTCTCCAGTAACAGAACTGTCCCTGTCTGCCCTGCTCCTTTCTTAGTGGGTGAATCTAACTGGAGTCATTTTTCCTCAGTTCTCTGAACACCACCAAAATGAGATCTATTTTTAGGACTCATTTATAGAAGCCAAAAAATTTTGGTAAGGCCCATTTTCTCACTTTACCCCCTCTGTTTTATTTCACAAATAGCCACCAACTATTTGATAAAATGCCATGCTGTGTATGCACCAGTTAATAGTTTTCAAGCAAAGTGATGAGTGCTGACGAATCAGTTGTGAATGAGATAGAAAGGATCCCTTCCTTCAAAGAGCTTACATTTTAGTGGATTCTGTATTGGTGTCCAGTTAAGTCAATATCTGTGAGATAAAAGATGCTTTTGAGAGGAAGGCTCTTTAATAGATGCCCAAAAGTCCAGTTCTATAGGATCATGTTGCTGGTCTATTGTTGATGTGTCTAAGGAAGACAGCCTGACTAAAACTGCACTCAGTTTATGGTTCGGTTGCATATATCAGATGTGAGCATATCAGATGACATATCAGTTAGCTGATTTTCTACAGTTCTACTTTGATCTTGGTAAAATTTTCTTTTTAATTTTTGTATTCAACATTCAATAAATACTTATTTAATAATTACTAGATGCCTAGCACTTATCTAGGCATGGAAGATAAAGCAGGAACCAAGACAGAGGAGTATGAGATCCTATAATACTTAAATTTTAGTGTGAGTGGGGTCAGAGGCAGAGACACTGTTGAAACAAATAAATACAAACATATCAGATAGGGCATGTGCTATGCAAAAAATAACAAAGGGTAATAGAATAGAGAGTGAGTAGGTAGCTACTTTAGATTGGGTGGTCAGGGAAAGTATTTGTGAGTGATATTATAACTGAGACCTTAATGAGAAGATGACCACTGAAAGGATCAAAGAGAAGAGATTTTTCAGTAGGGAAAGTTCCTAAAGGTGGGAATGAGCAAATTATAGAGCATCAGTGGTGCTAGAGTGTAGCAGGTAAGATGCACAGTGATTCTGAAGACTCTATATAATCGGGAGTCTTTCACCAGAATCATCAGGAAATCATGTATAACCACAACTCTTGTCTGCAGATACTCCCCCCTCTTCTCTTTTCCTTTTATTTTCCTTCCTAATTTTTTTTTTAAAGATTTTATTTATTTATTTTGACAGAGAGAGAGAGACAGCGAGAGAGGGAAAACAAGCAGGGGGGAATGGAAGAGGGAGAAGCAGGCTTCCCACCAAGCAGAGAGCCCGATGCGGGGCTCGATCCCAGGACCCTGGGATCATGACCTGAGCCGAAGGCAGACGCTTAACGACTGAGCCACCCAGGCGCCCCTTTTCCTTCCTAATTTTAATCATCAGCATAATTATACCCAATGCCACTGTTATGCTTTACTTTTAAAATAGTTCCTTATCAGGACTATTCAATAACAATCTTTATAATATGCTCTCCTATTTGTAATTGCTATGACAGATAACTCACTTAAAACTGCTATCAGAGTCATCATTACAATGCTTTCACCCTTAATTCATTTCACTGGGTCTTACAGGGAAGCAATGTGGAGGCTACCAAAAGGATCTAAAGAAGGAAAACAAAGGAGGAAAACAAACATCAGCTGATTAATTCGTTCTTCATTATATGTCATTCTCGGAAATAACTGTGGCTGGAGAGAACCTTCCAGTAGTCTGATATGACACATTACTATAAATAAAACTAAGTTTGTAACCCCAAGCAGAGTAGGTTTGAGGAAACAGTTTTCCACAGATAAGAGGGAGAGATGAATGTTGATTGGAGGAATCTCTGCCTTAATATAGGCAAAGGAAACGTATAGGTAACAGCAAGAAGTAGTGCCTCTCAAGCAGTAAGAAGATGATAAAGAAAAACATGGGAAGAAAGGGCCGAGTTGGTTCAGCAAATGTCAAGTTCTTCATTATGTCTAAACCAAAGGTTGTGTTTCTGTAACAGTGACTGGAAATAAAAGAAGTAGGCCTTGGATTTCAGGCTAAGTGGCTTTAGATCAATTCCATTGTTAAAGGGGAACCACTAAAGAGTCTTAAGGATGCTAGTAATGTGGTTTTTTGTACGTTCATGCTGTTCCCAAGTTATGGATTTAATAAACCTGCCTCTTACTTTGATTTCCTGATCCAGATAGTTTGGTATGCAAACAGTGTTCTCTTTGACGTCAGTCTCGGTACTCATCACCTCTGAAGAACAAGAGTCAGCAGCAGAGCATGCTTTTGGAGGTGACAGTGGCTTTTTTACCTTAATTTCTTCCTAAATCAAAGGTATAACATAATCAGTACGCATTTGCATCCACTTATATTTTCTATGAAAGTTGAATATAAAATGAATGAGAAATATTGTAGCTAAATAAGAGATGTACATGAAAGTAAAGAGAGGTTTGTTTTAATCTTCCCATAAAAATCTAATTATCAAATATTTGCATTTGGAGACAGAACACAGAGTGAGATATAATTTACATTTTGTGAAGCCATTTTGAATAAGCCCTCGGTCACACACCAAGATAATAATTTTTGAATGCCCTCTAGCCTTTATTTATTTTGCTGCTCCAGATAACAACCAACTCATCACACATGAGATTTTTCTGTTAAATTAGGAAGACTTATGACGGGAAAAAGACAGTCAAAAGATTTTATGCAATGTCTGTGTAGACACTACATGTTGCTTTCCCTGCCCTGGGGATGGCAGCTTAGAGCCGGAGAACTGGAGAGGTCAGCTAAATTACTTCCCTTGCTTACTGGAAAGGGAAAGAGGAAGGCTATGCTCTTGTTCTAGGAGGCAAATATACTCTGTAATTCAAAAATAAAAAAAGGCTATAAGAGCTTTAAGTCCAAGAAGAGTTATAGAAGCCTTAGATCTATGTGCTTATTCCAAGGAAGGCTTTTAACCTTCAGAAGTGAGGGCTATTTAACACATGCAGAAGCCAGTGGCTGAAGAGGCCAACAGCTGGGGACTGTGATGACTGGAATTGATAGAAAAATACTGAACTGCTGACATTTAGTGATAATAAAGCTATATTGTAGATAGATGCATTCTTCTGTTAAAGTTTATTATATAATAAGACTTCCTGTTTTAGGGAATAGCAATATACATTTTTTGGTTCAACCCTCCCACTAGACACAACTAAAAAGGCAGATTAAAATTTAAAAAGATTAAAACTGTCGAGGAGTGAATAAAGTAGGAGTTAATAGGCCAAAGTGAAGGGGAAGTGAGAAGCCTCAGTTGTAGGGAGTACAGTAGCCATTTTTGCCTGAAGTCACTGTAAGATCCTGGAGAGTGAAAACTTTTCTTGTGACAGCTTAAAAGGTCCTGAAAGACAGGACTCAAAGCCTAGAACCCAAATAAGGGCCAACAAAGGGCTACACCCTGAAGATGAAGGTGACCTAGAAGTGCAATGGTCCTTGAGGAAATATAACCTAAGGTCAAGGTTCAAACTTGGTTTAAGTTAGTCAAAGCTGTTAGGGCCTCTGGGTTCCTACAGAAGCAAGCACAAAGTTCTCTTTGGAAAAAAGTGTTTTTATCATGAGCTTCAGATTCCTACAAATAACTTTTCATACATAATATCCAGTCACTAAGTCATGAGGCAAAAAGAAATTATAGTGCAAATTAGAAAAAGTTTTAACTTAATGCTGATAACAAAAATTATGAAAGCAATTAAAACAATCCTCAAAGAAGAATTTACAGCTAAATATATACATTAGAAAGATAAAAGAAGTTAAAAATAAAATAAAGTATGTGCATAGAAAGAGGGAAAAGATAACATAAATCAACAAAATAGAAAAGAAATATATAACAGAGAATCAAAAAACCCCACAAAAATTAGTTCTTTGTTATACTAACTGATAAACTACTATGGAAACTGATCAAGAAAAACAAAGACATAATGTAACAAAACTGATAGGTAAAAGGGTACATCTTACAGATACTGCATATGTTTAAAAAAGAACATGAGGTTATTACGTATAACATTATCAATAAATTTGAATGTTTCAATGACATGAATAATTTCATAACCAAAATCATTTTGAGAAGAAATAGAAAATCTGAATAGTTCTATAATGAAACAGATTTCAAATCGAAGAATGTTATCAGGATTGAAGAGGGTAATTTTATAATGATAAAAGGGTCATTTCATCAAAAGAACATAAACCTAAATAGTAATACTCCTAATAAGAGAGCTTCAGAACACATGATTAAAAACTGATATAAGTACCATGTACTAACTGATTATGCCACTGGAGCTCTGAAAAAAAAAAAAAAACTAATATAAATGAAAAGAGAAATATAGAAACCCACAACTATAGTCAGAAATTTCAACACCTCTTTCTCAATAATTGATAAAAAAAAGTGGAGAGCAAATCAGTAAGGCTACAGAAGACCTGAATGACAATATCAACCAACTGAACTGGCATTTATATTACATTCTACCCAACAACAGCAGAGTGAGCATTCTTTTCATGGCACTTAGAAAATTTATCAAGGTTGACCTATTCTGGGGCCATATAACAAGTTTCAATAAATTTACAAAGTTTCAAAGTATACAAAGTATCTTCTCTGACTGCAAAGGAATTAAATTGATATCTTTAAGACACCCAAATATTTGGAAATTAAATAACACAATTTTAAGTAACCCATGGAGAAGAGATTAAATAGTTAATTAGGAAGTATTTTGAACAGAATTAAAATGAAAACTCAACGTTGTAAAATTTGAAGGATGCAGCCAAAGCAGTGTTTATTTAAAAAATTATAATATATGATTATATTAGAAAGGAAAAATGTCTCAACTCAATGACCTAAGCTTCCATCTTCTATAACGACATGAACCCAAATCAATGAAATAGAAAGAGAAAATCAGAACAATAGATATCACCAATGAAAGGAAAATTTATTCTTTGAGAAGATCAATAAAACTACCAAACCTCCAGTTAGACTCATCAAGAAAAAAAAGACACAAATTCCCAATGTCAGGAATGAGAGGCAGAACATCTCTACAGATCATATAATCATTAAAAGGATATGTTATGAATGACTTTATATCAGTAAATTCAACAACTTAGATGGAATGGACAAATTCTTTGAACAATAGAAACTACCAAAGCTCACTAAAGAAGAAACTGATAACCTGAATGGTCTATATCTAATGGAAAATAAGAAACTGAATTTGTAGTTAAAAACCCTGACTCAAAGAAACCTCCAGGCCCAGATGGCTTCACTGAAGAATTCTACAAAACTTTTAAGGAAGAAATAATACCAATTCTCCATAAAATCTCCCAGAATTTCAAAGAGAAGTTCCCCACTTATTCTATGAAGCCAGTGTTATGCTAGACTAAAACCACAAAAGACATTACAATTAGACTGCAAACCCATATTCATTATGAACATAGACACTAGAATGTTAAACAATATTTTTTGAAATTAAATACATAAAAAGGATAACACAACATGATCAACTGGGTTTTTTTCCCAGCAATGCAAGGGTAGTTGAACATTTAGAAGTTAACCAATACAATTTAAAAAGAAAAATATGATCATTTTAGCAGATTAAAAAAGATCATATTAGCAGATTAAAGAAGAAAAATATGATCATTTCAAATTGATGCAGAAAACGCATTTGGCAAAAACCAATCCCTATTTCTGATAAAAGCTCTCAGAACACTAGGAATGGAACACTGAGGAATCAGCCATATGAAGGGCAGCTACGAAAAAAACAACAACTGAAATCACATTCAATGATGAAAGTATAAGCTTTTCGCCTATAATTAGGCACGAGGCAACAGTGTCTGCTCTCATCACTTCTATTCGATACCATACTAGAGGTCAGCCCTTACAAAAAGGCACAACAGAGAGGTAAACATTGTGTGGACTTGAAACTATGATAGAAAAATTTTAAATTTTGGCTTCATCAAAGTTATAAATTTTGGTTCTAAAAGGTAAGCCTCAGACTGGAAGAAAATATTTGCAAAATGTATATGTTACAAAATAATTTTTATCTAGAATATATAAAGAATCTTTAAAACTTCATAGTAAAAAGACCAGCAACCCAATTTACAAAGTGGGCAAAGCTTTGAACACACATTCCTCATAAGAAGATATATGGATGGCAAGTAAGAACATGACAAAATGTCAACCTCACTAGTCATCAGGGAAATGCAAATTAAAACCACAATGAGATACCCCCACACCCACTAAATTGGCTAAAGTTAAAAATACTGACCATCCTAAGTTTTGGCAGGATGTGAGAGAAAGGAAACTGATACACTGCTGGTGGGAATATAAAATCATACAACCACTTTGAAAAAAACTTTGGCAATTTCTTAATAATTTAAACCCACGCCTACAGTAAGACCCAGTCATTCCACATCTATGTATTTACCCAAGAGAAAAGAAAATATATATCCATACAGAGACTTGTACACAAATGTTCGTATCAGCTTTGGCAAAAATTGGAAACAAGCTAAATGTCCATCAACAGGTGAACATGTACACAAATTGTGGGATACCCATACAACAGAATACTACTTAGCCATAAAAAGGAACGAATTATTGGTGAACATAACAACGTGAATAAATTTTAAAATAATGATGCTAAGTTAAATAAACCATTTTTAATGTTTCTATTTAAATTCCAGTTAGTTAACATACATTTTTATGTTATGTCAATTTGCAATGATGTGGATGGAACTAGAGGGTATTATGCTAAGCAAAATAAGTCAGAGAAAGAGAAATGCCATATGAGTTCACTCATATGTGGAATTTAAGAAACAAAATAGATGAGCATAGGGGAAGGGAAGGAAAAATAAAATAAAATAAAATGAAAACAGAGAAGGAGGCAAATCATAAGAGACTTGTAGCTCTAGGAAACAAAGTGAGGGTTGCTGGAGGGGTGGGCATGGGGAAATGAGGTAACTGGGCGATGGGCATTAAGGAGGGTGATGTAATGAGCACTGGGTGTTCTATGCAACTGATGAATCACTGAAATCTACCTTGGAAGCTAATAATACAATATATGTTAACTAAATTTAATTTAAATTTAAAAATTTTTTTAAAGCTGTAAAAAATACTGTGAAATGTACCTTTTCAGAAAGGTACGTGACGAAAAAGAGAAGAAATGACAGAAGTTGAACTAAATAGGTAACTGCAAAGAGTTGCTTCTTTACCTTCTTAATTGCTAAGGGATTCTCACTGGAAGTTTTGAAGCGCTCCTTGATTTTTCTACAGGGCTCTGAAATGATATTTCAGGAAAATATATTTAGATCAAACTGAAAAAATTTCTACCACATGACACATATGTCAGTTGCTGAAATAAATGAGAGTATATCTGGATTTCAAATAAGGTCAACTCAGGGATATGTTTATAAATATTGGAAACCTTGCAGGTAAAGTTATACTACAATAACATAATAAAAGGATATTTATATTTACAAACTAATTCAATGCCCAGGAAGATGATATAAAGAAAGACTGGAAGAGCTTTCTTGATCTGGGTAAACTAATTTTTAAAAGTACATATTTCAGTGTAAGACATGTTTTTCTGTGTTTCCTACCCATATAACTGACACTCTCCCTAATTAAAGAGATTATATGTTTGCTGTTTGACCTGTGGCCAGAAGGAGATGTGTGCTGAGTTATAATTACATTTTTTTATTTTATTTCTTATTTCATCAGTCTCTCAACCATACACATTTCATAGACTCATCTAATGAAATCCCTCTAAAACCATTTAAATATTTGCTTAATTCCCTTTTGTATTAATTTAAAGATATATTCTCTGTAAGCAATGCTATCTTTTTTACTGAAGCCACAGTTAACACAATTTCTTAAAAGATGAAGAGATTTTGTGCATTTCCCAATAGTAACTGAATTCATTAGTTCTAGCTGAAAAAAGAAAAATATTATAAAGTTACCTCTCTCCAAAAGAGAGCAGGAAGGAAGGAGGAAGAACAGAGTTATGGATGGTGAGTCTATTAAGTTAATGTTCACTTCTGGGAAACAGAAACCACCCTATTTTAAGCTAAACTGTAAATAAGACAGGGAATTAGATGTTTGCAATCTCACTGGCAGGGCTGAAGCAGTGAACTCTGGTGTTGACCCTCACAAATCAAGAGCAGCACCTTGCACCTGGCCCTCCCAGGGGGGCACAGCCTTTATCACAATCAGGAGGAAGGGGGGTCAGGATGCCACTCACACTTCAGTTGCTGTCACAACATCTGTGGGGCTAAAGATGAGGCACAGGGTCACCGCTGCAATCTGAAAGTCACCATATTTGCTGACTTTGCCATCAGACACCCATAAATCCAGAATCTGAACACTGGGATATTGTAGCAGGAAAAGCCCATGTCTCCAGTCAGGCTTGAGAGCAGACAGCAACCAAAAAGATGACCTGAGCCCCACATCTGAAATATAAATCTTACCAGATGGCAACACTTAACTCCCATTAAGGGACTCTTGCAAATGTAACCATTAAGTTTCCGGGTTTTATGGTATAAGAAGGAACACCAGAAAGAAGGTGGAATATGTGGGCTTTGATTCTTTATTGCTAGTGGGTAAGGAAGAGGAACTCTTGAAAGGATGAAGTGAGTTAACAAGTGTGAAGACCTTAGAATGGAATCCCAGGGTGAGTACTCTACTAATGGTCCCTCTTACTGTTATCCTTTGAACAATAGTGTATTTTACCACATTATACCAAAATAACTTTCATGTGCCCTGAAACTTTCAGTAATAAGAGAAAGAGAAGGGGCGCCTGGGTGGCTCAGTCGTTAAGCGTCTGCCTTCGGCTCAGGTCATGGTCCGAGGGTCTTGGGATAGAGCCCCGCATTGGGCTCCCTGCTCTGCGGGGAGCCTGCTTCTCCCTCTCCCACTCCCCCTGCTCTCTTGCTGTGTCTCTCTCTGTCAAATAAATAAACAAAATCTTAAAAATAAGAGAAAGAGAACTGGATATAATTTACCATCCAGAATTCCTTCTATTTTACCTAGCGCTTTAGATTTTGCCATACTACACTTTTTAAAATATATTAGTGTAAGACATACAACATAATGATTTGACATATGTATATATTGCAAAATGATGCTCACAGTTAAGTGTGGTTAACCCCTCACAAAATTACCACTTTTTTTCTTGTGATGAAAAATTTTAAATCTACTCATAACTTCCAAACACACAATATTATTAACTATATGTTCTGTTGATTAATCTCTTTTTGTTTTAATTCAGTAAACATTAATTAATTGATTACTAAATATCAAACACACTGTGCTGGGACCTGGGGAGACCCCAAGAATACCAGAAACACAGAAGGCAATGACACTGGGCCCCAAGCTTCAGGAGCTGACCGCCCAGTGGGGGAAGATGGAAGCGTGCAATTCCATCCCTACTGCATTTCCCTGACTCACTTTTTGTCACAGTAGTTTCCCCATCAATTCTGGCTAAATATTCATTTTTAAGACCTCTTAGATACTTTGTCGGGATTAGAGACTATAGCTACACCAAATATGTCCTGGACATAATAAAGACAATAATAATATTTATTAACATTACTGAACTACTGAAATGAGATTAAACGAGTGAAAAATTTTTATAATGAATAACCTATTTCATAGTGAGGAAATTTCATGACTATTTAAAAATCGTTGCAGCTATATTAACAATCACATAGACCATCCTCCCTGCCCTCCCCACCCCCGCCACCCCCGCCACCCCCGAGAGTTTGCAGGAGGCCTCAGGACAGATTTCATTAGTTGCACAGGACTCACCAGAATGAGGCCGTGGGGGCACCTTGACATTGTTTGGGGCTGGTGAGACTCCTCTGACAGGGCTCTCCGGGGCTGCAGCGCTGGGTGCATAACTGCATTTGGCAAATGGTATCTCATCCTTCTCTAAGTAGTTGAACTCGTCAACACCCCACAATGCTCCCAGTGAGTTCTCATCATCATTCACAGTACAGATGGGAATGTTATTCAGACCTAGGTGAGTCAGGATAAACAGACCGAACAACCACATTAAGTTTGGGGCAGATTTTCTTTCAATGATCAGCCATTTCCCAACTCATATTGTTAAGTGTACACAAAATGTCAGACTACAAACGGTATGAACCAGTGCTAGGTGGATATTCTTTGAAGGTCAGTGTAGCAAATTATGTTTGCAATACATGCTTCTTTTTTTTTTTTTTTTTTTTAAGATTTTACTTATTTATTTGAGATAGAAAGAGCGAGAAAGAGGCAGAGTGGGGGAGAAGCAGATTCCTGGCTGAGCAGGGAGTCTGATGCGGGGTTCAATCCCAGGACCCTGGGATCATGACCTGAGCTGAAAGCACACACTTAACTGGCTGAGGCACCCAGGTGCCCCTGCAATATGTGCTTCCTTAAAATGTTCTGCCATCTTGTTAGCCTTGAGAACCAGGCTCACATATTTCTTGGTGTGAGAGTCAAGTGCAGTGGATCTGCTTCTATCCCAGACAGACCTCTCATTTCGCGTCTTGAGGATGACTAAGGAACTATGTTAGCCCTCTTCATGAATATCGCATTCAGGTGTTTGGAAGCATCCAGAATGTCTCAGTACAAGGCCTCTGAAAAGACACACACTGGCCCTGTTTTTGTCCTGGCAGAAGGTTTAAACAGCTGCAGGAGCTAGGAATAGGAGGCAGGATGAGGTAGACTGTGAGGGAGGGAAGGAAGGAAAACGCGGTACAAAGGAACCTCCTTCCTCATGTCCAAGCTTTCTAGGCTCCTTCACTCTCCTGTAAGAGTTATTTGCCTTTGGCTCATATATTGAATTACAGAAAGATCCTCTTTCTGGTATCAATGCCATGTCATGACATATTGAACAGCTTAGGAAGTGAAGGTGTACGGGACTTTGCTCTATGTTAAACAGTGAATTATCAGAGATAGGTATAGCTGGCTGCTTTGTTGCACAGGAAGCTTCTGGATAGTGTTTTTTATACTTGCCCATTTTTCTCAATTTCCTTCTAGGACTATCAGTCCACTGCCTTCTTATCTATCTGCTCAAATGACATCAAAAAGGTCTTTGCTGAAAACCTTGTCTGAAATGTACCCCATCACACTCTGTCCCTTTATGCTCTTTTATTCTTCCCATAGCACTTGTTGTCTATCATATCTGTTTGCACATTGCTGGGCTGAGCTGCCCTAGAATGTAAGCTTCATGAAAGCATGTATTTTGTCTGTTTTGTTTGCTGCTCTATTCCCAGTGTCTAGAATAGTGCCTGGCACAAAGTTGATGCTCTACGATTATTTATCAAATGAATGAATAACACAGCCAAACATAGAGCTTTTATTTAGTCTGATACTTAGAACTTAACTGATAGTAACTGGTTCCAAATAGAAATGAGAATAAAATTTTTGAAGATAGCATCACATCTTACCATTTTATCTTAAACACCTGAGATAGTGATTGACCCAGGTGCGTCGTGAAAAATTGCCTACCAAATGAAATAAAATATTAACATGAAGATAAATCAATGGAGAAATCCTTATTTTCTCTGCTATCTCCTTTAATTAAAAAATGGTAATAAGTAACATGAAAGAATTCAGATTCTATCCATCCAAGAGTTAGGAAAGACCTACATAAAAATGTAGAAAGTGCAATGGCATTAAAATGGCTTCAGAGTCAAATGGGACAACATTAAATGATTTAAAGGTAGTCAGGGAAACGTGAAACCCAACACAGCAGTGAAGGAGATTAGCACAATATTGGTGGAAATTTCATTAACTTCCTTGAATACAGGAGAATTAGGTAATGGAGTCTTGGGCTCAGGAAGGACAAGCTCCCCATACTGGGCATCAAATTTCTGTTCTGGTCATGAATCTGAAGGACTCACCTTTCAGAGACTGCCAGGTGAAGATTCAAATCTCACATTCCTGCCTAATTTTCTGACTGATATGCACCCCCAGTTTAATGAGATAGTAATAACTCTAATTTTTTTTTTGTCCAAGGTATTTGTTTCCTTAGTTGATGGTGTGCTTTAACATTGGGAAGGTTTCAAATAAAAGATGGAAATGATAAAATAAGAAAAATACATACTATTCTTATTCATGGGTTAAGTTTAGTAAAAACCATTGCATATGTGTTTTTAAAATGTATATAATATTTAGGCAGAAAAGTATGAGAATATCATTAGTTGGTAAACAGTAAAGAAATGTTTTAAATAATGTATTTGTCTATATTATAAGTTTAATTTATTTAATTTACAAGATTTATTTATAGCTTGGTGAGAATTCACGTGATAAGGATGTGAAATATTTTAAAAGAAATCAAATCTACTAAATGAGTAATTGACATTTAAACTTTTAAAGGTATTTTTTTTACTAAGTTTGTAAATGGAACTAAATATTAACCAAAGACCCCCTTGAAGTGATTGTTAAAATTTTCTAGATTTAGGGCGCCTGGGTGGCTCAGTCGGTTAAGCGACTGCCTTCGGCTCAGGTCATGATCCTGGAGTCCCGGGATCGAGTCCCACATCGGGCTCCCCGCTCATCAGGGAGTCTGCTTCTCCCTCTGACCCTCCTCCTTCTCATGCTCTCTGTCTCTCATTCTCTCTCTCGCAAATAAATAAAATCTAAAAAAAAAAAAAAAATTTCTAGATTTATAAGTAAAATAATAAAATCTTTAAGTTAAATTTTAAATGTTAAAGCAAAAAGGTTTATAATTGTTATTTTAAAGTTTACTTTAAAAATAACAAGTAACTGCACTAATCTTTATGATACACAAAACTTTCCATCAAGAATGCTAAATATTTACTATCAGGATCGCTAGTGCTATAGAAATATTAGTATTCCATTTCACACCCTCCTCTCCAGGCCAAGGATGACCCAGTCTCCGCAGACCAGCAGGGGCATTGGGGAGTGGTCTGCGTTTCCTCTCCCTCGCTCTTCTGCTCTTCCTTCCCCACTCACTGCTTTCAGCTCCTCCAGAGTTGGGGTTGGAGGATGAAGGAATGGTGAAGGGGACACAAAGTCTTATTTGCTTAATGGTTTTAATTTAGTGTTGAGGCATCCGTGAAAACAGATCTGTGAGGCAGAGAAAAAATGCTGGCTCTTTCTCTCACGAGGTATTTCTGTGGGTTCTTTGGAGAACCCTGGCTGAGGAAATCTCTGACACCGTTCACTGTCATGGATGATGTATCTACCAGATAATTGCTAACTTCTCTTCCTTCCCACCTTCACCCCAGGTGAAATGTCACCAGCCTCTTTTGGCTGGAGTTGTCCTATTAGTTAGTCTTTTGGGCTGGGTCCTTGCGAGACAGTTCTTGGCCAACCTCCTCCAGAGTGTTCCCACAGGAAACAATGCCCTTGACCTGGTCTTCTGTGGGAGAGCAGTTTAATCCCAGTCTGTGCCACTGACACAGCCAGCTCCAGCCAGCTCCAGTCAGCTCTTGTCTTGAGATTTTAGAAGAGACTCAGACACCATCATCTGTGTCCTCCATACCATAGAAGATCCAGAACAAGTTCACCCCAAGAATAGTCTCCCCATGATCCACTGCGGAAACAGTGTAGGGCAGACCAGGAGGAGCACAGGCAAGAAGCCAGCTAGCCAGTGAGATGTGTCTCCTCTCTGGACATTCTCCATAAATGGTCCTGGAAAGCCCTGCAGGTACAAGTGAAGGCAGCTACTACTGCTCCTCGTGGCAGGGAAGGGAAGTGCACAGCACCACAGTGACTCTTTTTCAACGAAATCCTCACTCTCTGTCCTTTCTATGAACTCTTCTCTAAAGCAAAAGAGCCTGGAGATAGGCTACCATTGTAGGGCCAGTTTTTAAATTACCTCTTAGCAAGTCACGCATAGATGATCTCAAAATTTAGCTTTAGCAAAAGTTCCGAAAAGCCTCATTTAATCCCGTGACTAAATATAATGCTTTTTGTCAAGAAGTAGTGATACGCAAATTTCTTTGGCTACTGTGCCCTTTGTTCAAACACATTTTACTCCATCTTGGTCTCTTGCCCACAGACTACAGCTTAAAAACTTCTGCCAAGCAAATGTAAGATTTTAATATGTCCTGTGTATAAATTCAGACTTTCCCTATTCTATGTAATAGAAGAGGTTGTAGAGATCACTAGTTTGTAAATTAAATGGAAAATTTTCATCTTTCACATCCACTGTTCCCTCTTTCTTTAAAATCATTTCTCTCTATTTTCAGAGACAATGTTTTGTATCTCAGAATCTCTACTATTTCTTTTCAGTCTCTTTCTCTGGATTTTCTGTGTCTATACACCCCTGTGTTTTTCAGAGTTCTGTTAGGATTTCTTTCTTGGGCAATATCATTACTGATTTAACCTATATGCTTCCTGCTTTTCAGATCTACTTTACATCCTCATCTAATCCTTAGGCTCCAAGTCCTTATATCCATTTCTCTACTTGGTCATTTACTCCTGAATGTTCCATTGGCACATCAAGCACAACGTGTTTGTCTGAAATGAAGCTTTTAATCTTACCTCTTACGTATGTTCTTCCTCCTATATGCCCAAGATTAATAGTTGGCCCACTATCCAGACAGTTAACCAAGCTAAAAAAAAACTGGTAATAATTCTAGACTTTTTATTCCATCCTTAAATCCAATAAATACCCAAGTCCTGCTAATTATTTCTTCTTAATGTTTATCATGTATCTCCCAGTAAAAACCTCTGTGAAATGCCTTCTTGACACTCCTCCAGTGGCTGCCCTATCTGTATATTACATCTGAACTTCCAGCATAGTTCTATAATTGCACATAACACAATTGTAACTATTTCCTTTTATTCTATCTCCTCCAAGTACATTGTGAGCAGAAACTGGCTTATGCTGTGTTGCTAGCAAAGTGCATATATGTATCACAAATAGAGACTTTAAACTGACATTTCTTAGACTGAATAAACTTACTGATGATTTAACTTTTTAAGGATTTATCTATGAAAATAACATTAGATCTCACAGACTAAAACATTTGAATGTTAGTAAAAACGGACTATAAGAATTATCTTTGGGGTGAAATTAGCGAAACTAGTTGTAGTGTCCTTGTGCTGAGTGTGGGTTCAGAGCACATATCAGTCAAAATACAGCAGCTTGCTGCTCTTCTCTTCCTCCTGCAGTTCAAGTTACTAGGCTTTCTAGCATTAGCATGGATATCCTTGAAATATTTCCAAAGAAAGTTTTCTATTCAGTTGAACATGTATTTATATGTGGACATATGTTACTAAAAGTAAAGCTTTGTGGTAGGCATTGTAGGGGATTTGAAGACATTAAAGTCAGTCCTTTGCCTGCCAACAGTTTTATATTGTATTATAGGTATAAGATAATTCAAGGCAGAATGTGAATTACATATATAGGAGTTATATATCAAGTACTTTCAAGTATTTGGAAGTCAGAAAAAAATATACTCAATTTGGTAATATTTGCCGTCATAGAGAAAAAGTTCTAATTAAATGGAATGCTTTTCTCATGTGGATTTTGAAAAATCCTGTCATCAGATTTTGCCAAGACAACGGATTCCAAGCCATTTATGACTTCTTTATTGTAATATCTCTTTCCTATCTCTTGGCCTTTGTTTTCCTGATCTTCTTTAGCAATTTGTCTTTGATGATCACCCAGCCATTCTCATTGCATCTTGCTTTATCTCATAACCCTCTGATGGCTTTCTCTGTGCTGCTCATCTGGGTTTTTCTCTTGCTCTACCCCAAAGTTCAATCTTCACTTCTCTGCTCTGCTGTTTGCCCTGGCCCATCCTTCATCCCTCTCACTTGGATGACTGAGTCAGCCTTTTAACTGATCTCCCAACTTCTCCTTAGGCCCTTGTTTTCCTTCCACTTTCTACAATACAGGTAGAATGAATTTTTTGAAGAATGAAATCACTTGCTCAAGGACACACAACTAGATAGCTGAGGTAGAACATTAACTCTACTTAAAATCTATCAGAGGCTCTAAATTTTTATCTGAATGCAATTTAAGCTTCCTTCTTTCCTTCCACAAGAATTATCTAGTACCTCCCACGTCGCAGCCACTCTAGGAAACTGAAAATAAGTGGTGAGCAAAACAGACACATCTTCAGCTTTCAAGGAGCTCATAAATTAGTGGAAGATATTTGATAATAATCAAATAAAAATATTTAGTCATAAGCTCCAATAATTGCTGTAGTAGATGTGGAGATGCATCTACCCAAACCATGCCTTCAGGACCAACACACTCATCTGTCCACCTGGCAGATGTGTCAGCTACTGATGGCTCATGCCAAGTCCCTCCCTGGGAATTGCTCTCAGCTGAAGACAGCTCTCATGTAGGATGGAAACTTGACCAGTGAGTGGTTAATGGGGGTTACAAAGGCCTGACCCCCTTGCTTTAAGCCGAGACACCTCTACAGAGCTGTCCATGGCTCCTTATGGGACTGACTGAGGCCTCTTTTGTTTGCATCATCGAGGGAGGGAGGGAAAAAGGGGGGAAAGAACAGAAAAAAAAGGAGAGAAAATGAGAGAAAGGGAAAAAGGGCTGGAGGGTAAAATATATGCTTCTCTAGGGGTAATATTTAGCATGTAAATGCTAGCATGGCCATGCAATTTGTTAAAATATTGAATACTTTTATACCAATTGGTCAATTGTTGCTGTGAGCTGTTTGGCACCTCTCCGGGTCCCTTTTCTAACAGTCAAGAAATCCCAGGGTTAATGCCTGGCAGAGAGGATGCCTGCAGGCTCTGCTCTATCCCCAAGGCTGGCATCTGGTCTCAATGGTCAATACCTGTGTCTCACCATTAGTTAAATATTTTGAATAGTATCCTTGTGTTTATCCACAGAAATCATCAAGTAGCCCAAATGCAGGGAGAGAGAGAGACATTCTAGGACCTTGAGTTACCTTACCTTTGATGTGGCAGACTCTTCTGGGATGAGGGGTGTGACGGACTAGAAAACAGTTTCCATTTCTAGGCATGATATGGCTGCCTTTGTTCTCGAACGGAAGAGCAGACATCGGAGATTTGAGGCTCATGTTCTTGTGGTATTGGTTTGCCCCTCTCCACTGTTGCCGCAAAAGGTCCTGGGGTTCTACCTTGTTAACCTCACTTCCAGAGGTGCTTAGACCCTGAAATCATAGAATGACAGTCATTCTGATGAGGGGGTTCTTGACATTTCCTTACACATCAAACATTACTTCTCTGTTTGCACTGAATTGTTTCTCCTGTCAAAACAATGTGAGGTTATTTTACTTTAGACCAAATTTTTGTAAATATTGAAATGAATACAGGCATGGGTGGAAGAGAAGAATTATTCCCCGGAAAATACAAAACCTTAAAATATGTTCTATGTTTGATTACATTTAAGGTCACTTTGTTAGCTTACCAACATAAAAATACATAACATGGTTATCAATTTTGATATAGTAAATGAAAATGAGAGCTTTAAAATATAATACCCACAAATGTGTTTTACATTAATGCACCTTCCATATTATGATGTGATACATATAACGAGGACCTTTCATATTATGCTTTAAGACAACCAGCTTATTAAATCTGTATCATCTTCTGAGAAGATAGTAAAACCTAAAGGAGAAAACAAATCTGGTAACAAAAGAATGATATTACATCTACAAACGATAAAGTAGAGAACTTTGGGATGTTGTTATTTGCAATTTTCAGTAATATTTAGTGATTTTCTCTCAATCACTCAGCAATTATTTATTAGACACTTAAAGTATCATAGGCCTAAGGGATCAAAGATAATGTTATGGCTCTTTGGGAATTTACAATTATGTGGGAAAAAATTTCTGGATTAGAAACATAGGAAAGAGTTAAATAAACTTTCTTTTTTTAAAAAGATTTTATTTATTTATTTATTTGTCAGAGAGAGAGAGCACAAGCAGGGCAAGCAGCAGGCAGAGGGAGAGGGAGAAGCAGGCTCCCCACTGAACAAGGAAACTGATGCAGGGTTCAATCCCATGACCCGGGATCATGACCTGAGCTGAGAGCAGACGCTTAACCAACTGAGCCACCCAGGCATCCCTAAATAAACTTTCTTAAAGATGGCATACTATTGGGGCACCTGGGTGGCTCAGTCAGTTAAGAATCTGCCTTGGACTCAGGTCATGATCCCAGGGTCCTGGAATGGAGCCTTGCGTCCAGCCCCATGTCGGGCTCCCTGCTCGGTGGGGAGCCTGCTTCTCCCTCTCCCTCTGCCGTTCCCCCTGCTTGTGCTCTCTCACTCTCTCTCTGTCAAATAAATAAATAAAATCTTAAAAAAAAAAAAAAGAAGATGGCATACTATCTTGAAATTTAAAGAAGGATTTTTTCCCCTGGTATTTGTTTGTATTTCCTATCTTACATGGAAATCTTATTCATCATAGCAGTACTGGGAAATATATATTTTATTTCTATGGCAGGGGGTTTTTCTGGTCAGAATAATTTTCAGCATTCAAATATGTCCATGTTCTAGAAATTGATCTCAAGGTTGGGGCACACATTTTTAGTTCATTGACTACCTTTTTAGACCAAAGAATCTGTGTTCAATTTTTTCATGGTATATATTCAGGGTGTATGGTATATAAATTACCAGCCCTGTTGCCACAAAAGAGCAAATATTTATAAATTCTAAACCTATTCTAGGCTAAAAAAATATATTAAAATATTTTGAATTCATAAAGAACTGTTATCTAATAAGAAAAAGTACATTTTCTTATTGTTCCTTATAAATAATGAGGAATTAGTTCTAACCCCTTTCTGTAACTCAAACTGTAGACTTACTCACTCTTCTTTATGTGTGGGATCTTTCACACAATTAAGTTAGTAAATTTATCTGAATTGAGGAAAAAGGATACAGTAGGCAAGTTGGAGAGTGGGAAGGACACTGAACTGAAATTTAAAAATGAGATGTATGGTCCTAGCTTTGCCATTAATGAACTAAGTGACCAAGGATAAATTCCTTTATTTCCTAGATTTTGATTTGCTCATCTGAAACCTGATGGGATTGATGGAGATGTCAGCTAGAATATTCAGCTATTCTATGTGTGTCTTCCCCACATCAATCATTCTCTTAGGTTAATTTGAAGGGTAGTAATAGCCTTTAAATTCTGGTGTTAAAGGTCAATAAACAAACATTGAAGAAAACTCTTCTTCTTCCTGATATGAAAATTGCAGTGCTTCCAAGGAGTCTGAAATTCATCTTGCTCTTATATTTAAAAAGGTGCTATAGTGCTTACTCCGGGATTAGAGAAAATTTAATTATCTCTGTTGTGACTTTTATTGTTTCTATTAGAAGTTTCAAAATAATGTTAAAGGGATAAAGGCAATATGTAAATATTTTATCCACATATATCATTAAAAATTTTACAAAATCCAACATACATTATGGACTATTTAAAGTCTGATTTAAACTTAAATTTTCAGGGGCGACTGGGTGGCTCAGTTGGTTAAGTGGCTGCCCAGGTCATGATCTCAGGGTCCTGGGATCAAGCCCCTGCATTAGGGCTCCCTATTCTGTGGGGAGTCTTCTTCTCCCTCTCCCTCTGCACCCCCCCCCGCTCGTTCTCCCTCTCTCTCTCTCAAATAAATAAATAAAATCTTTTAAAAAAAAAACTTAAATTTTCAGAAATGAGGTAAATGAATAACTCAAGACAAAGTTGTGAGCTTTGAATTGTTCTAACAAGTGATTTAATCATGAAAAAAAAATAAAATTACCTCAAACCTGAAGAAAAGTGAAACTATATTTCGCCCTGTGAAAGACATTGTTAAGAGAATGAAAAGTCAGGCCACAGACTGGGAGAAAATATTGTGAAACACATATCTGATAAAGGACTAGTATCCAGAATAACAAGGAACACTTAAAACTCAACATTAAGAAAGCAAATAGCCAAATTAATAACTGTGCAAAAAAGCTGAGCAAACGCCTCATCAAAGAAGATCATCAGATGGCAAATAAGCATGTATATAAAAAGATACTCAACATCATTTGTCATTAGGGAATTGAAAATTAAAACAATGACATACTGCTACATACCCATTAGAATGGCTAAAATCCAAAATACTGACAATGCCAAATGCTGACAGAAATGTGGAGCAACAGGAACTCTTATTCATTGCCAGTGGGAATGCAAAATGGTACAGCCACTTTGGAAGACAGATTGGAAGTTTCTTACAAAGCTACACATACTCTTACCATATGATCCAGCAATTGCACTCGGAGATGTTTCCCCAAAGGAGTTGAAATCATGTTGACACAGAAACCTACACAAGAATGTTTATTCATAATTGCCAAAAAATGGAAGCAACCAAGGTGTCTTCAATAGGTGAATGGATACATAAACTGTGGTACATCCATACAATGGAATACAATTCAGCAGTAAAAAGAAATGAGCTATCAACAGCAATCAGACAACAAAAAGAAATAAAAGGCATTCAAATTGGCAAAGAAGAGTCAAACTCTCTCTTTGCAGATGACATGATACTTTATGTGGAAAACCCAAAAGACTCCACCCCCAAATTACTAGAACTCATACAGCAATTCAGTAATGTGACAGGATACAAAATCAATGCACAGAAATCAGCTGCTTTCTTATACACCAACAATGTAACTGTAAAAAGAGCAATTAGAGAATCGATTCCATTTACAATAGCACAAAAACGATAAGATACCTTGGAATAAACCTAACCAAAAAGGTAAAGGATCAATATTCCAGGAACTACAGAACACTTATGAAAGAAATTGAAGAAGACACAAAAAGATGGAAAAACATTCCATGCTCATGGATCAGAAGAATAAACATTGTTAAAACATCTATGGTGCCAAGAGCAATCTATACCTTCAACGCCATCCCGATCAAAACTCCAATGACATTTTTCAAAGTACTGGAACAAACAATCCTAAAATTTGTATGGAATCAGAAAAGACCCCAAATCGCCAAGGAAATGCTGAAAAAGAAAACCAAAGCTGGGGGCATCACGTTGCGTGGTTTCAAGCTATATTACAAAGCTGTGATCACCAAGACAGCATGGTACTGGCACAAAAACAGACACATAGACCAATGGAACACAAGAGAGAGTCTAGATAGGGACCCTCAACTCTATGGTCAACTAATCTTCAACAAAGCAGGAAAAACTATGCAATGGAAAAAAGACAGTCTCTTCAATAAATGGTGCTGGGAAAACTGGACAGCTATATACAGAAGAATGAAACTTGACCATTCTCTTACACCATACACAAAGATAAACTCAAAATGGATGAAGACCTCAATGTGAGACAGGAATCCATCAGAATTCTAGAGGAGAACATAGGCAATAACCTCTTCTTCATCGGCCACAGCAACTTCTTTCAAGACATGTCCCCAAAGACAAGGTAACAAATGCAAAAATGAACTTTTGGGACTTCATCAAGATAAAAAGCTTCTGCACAGCAAAGGAAACAGTCAACAAAACAAAGAGGCAACCCACAGAGTGGGAGAAGGTTTTTGCAAATGACACTACAAAGGGCTGATATCCAAGATCTATAAAGAACTTCTCAAACTCAACACCCAAAAAACAAATAATCAAGTCAAAAAATGGGCAGAAGACACGAACAGACACTTCTCCAAAGAAGACAGACAAGTGGCTAACAGACACATGAAAAAGTGTTCACCATCGTTAGCCATTAGGGAAATTCAAATCAAAACCACATTGAGATACCACCTTACACCAGTTAGAATGGCAAAAATTGACAAGGCAAGAAACAACAAATGTTGGAGAGATTGTGGAGAAAAGGGAACCCTCTTACACTGTTGGTGGGAATGCAAGTTGGTACAGCCACTTTGGAAAACAGTGTGGAGGTGCCTCAAAAAATTAAAAATAGAGCTACCCTATGACCAAACAATTGCACTACTGGGTATTTACCCCAAAGACACAGATGTAGTGAAAAGAAGGGCCACATGCACCCCAATGTTCATAGTGGCAATGTCCACAATAGCCAAACTGTGGAAAGAGCCAAGATGCCCTTCAACCAATGAATGGATAAAGAAGATGTGGT